GCCCCTCGAATAAACTTTTTTAATACTTTAAGTATACTAGTTATACATTGTACTGATACATATTTATCAACTACCAACCTATCTATACATATTGCACTATTATATGCTATCTATTTTTCCTTTTTATGATGATTCCAATCGTGAGCAATTGAAAAAACCTACCAAAGTATATAATTTGATATTTGTATTGTATGGTGCACCTATTTTTGAGGTTTTGCACTCCACTTATTTTTATATTGTTTAGTTACGGCGTCACTATATTGAGGGACTCCAAACTAAGCATTATAAATATTTGGTGGATACCACTTTTACCTAAAGACATATTACCTGGCATTTAATTTTAAGGGAGACAGTTTATTTTTACCCATTTTTTCTTGATTCTTGAAGGCCTTTTTAGCAGTGCCATCTTAACAACATTATGCGCCCCCCCACCCCTGGACAAAGCAGTGCACTGGGGCCCTGCCTACACAACAACTCACAGGAATTAAAATTTTAATTATTGATAGACTACTGAATACACACACACACACAGATTTCTGAATGCACACAGACTCCTGAATGCACACAGGCGTTGCTGAATGCACAAAGGCTGATTTATACACTTACACACAGACTGCTGAGTCCATACACACACAAGCTTATATTTAATGGTATCTCCAAAAAATGCAATGCATACATACAATAATACACACCAACTGCTGAATACACACACACACACAGACTGCTTAATACACACACAGACTGCTGAGTACATATACACAGTCTGCTGAATACACACACACAGTCCGCTGAATACACACACACAAACCTAAACACTAGGGATGTGCATGGGCAAAAAATTTGGTTCGGACTTCTGAAATTCGGGACTTTGGCAATTCGGTTGGGCACTTCGGAAATGCAGCACTTTGGAAATTTGGGACATTTCCGAAATGCGGGACTTCTGAAATACGGACTTCGGCAGTTTGGGACTTTGAGAACTTTGGGAATTCAGCAGTTCCCTAACCCTACTCCTTACCCCACCCCTTACCCTACCCCATCCCTAACTCCTAACCCTACCCCAGCCCTAACTCCTACCCCTAACTCCTAGCCCTAACCCCACCCTTAAACCCAACCCTACCCCTAACCCCAACCTTCCTCTACCCTAAAACCTATACCTAACCCTACTAGGGATACGTGTCGGTTTAGGGGTAGAGGTGGGTTTAGGGCTAGGAGTAAGCTTAGGGTTAGGGTTAGATTCCTGTCATCATTCCCTTAATTTTCCCTCCCTCTCCTGTTTTGCCACTTTCCAGAAATCTGAAGCACTTCAGCACTTCCGAAATTCAGAAATTCGGTTCGGTTCGGCATTTCCGAAATTTGGCACTAAGGCAATTCGGAAGCGTCTGAATTGCCGAATTTCGGACGAATTTAAATTTGGACTGAAACGAATTGCACATGTCTGATACACACAGACTACTGAATACGTACACACAGTCCGCTGAATACACACACACAGACTGCTGAATACACACACAGACTGCTGAATACACACACAGATAGACAGACTGCTGAGTACACACAGACTGCCGAATACATACACACCATCTGCTGAAAACACACACACAAACACACACACAGACTGCTGAATACACACACATACAGAATGCTGAATACATACAGACTGCTGAATACACAGCAGTGTATGTGTTTGTGTGTACGGGTGCTGAGTGTGTGTGTGTGTGGGGGGGTGCTGTGTGTGTGTGTGTGTGTGTGTGGGGTGCTGTGTGTGTGTTGGGGGTCCTGTGTGTGTGAATGGTGCTCTGTGTGTGTCTGAGTTGTTGTGTGTGCGCGTGTGAGGAGTGCTGTGTGTGTGTGTGTGTGTGTGTGTGGAGTGCTGTGTGTGTATGTTGCAGAGTTTGAGGGGTGCAGGTAGCAAATGTGTTTGTTTTTTTTCCCTTCATTTGAATGGAACTGAACGTTAGCTCCCTGGCAGACATTCACATGAACCAAACCCACAAATGGTTCTCAACCATTATGGAACTAATTTCGGCACGAGGGCTTTGTGGGTCCCAAGTTACCTCAGCGGGACTTAGCCGCGAATGTTATGGAACTGTTTTAAACATGAGGTGACCGTGCTGTTCTCGGACAACTGGTTCAGGGTTTTGAACCACTTCTGCTAGGAAAGCAGTTTTTGGAGGGAAGGTGCTTGAGACTAAGGTTAACAAATGCTACCTGAGAGCCAGGCGGAGCACCCTATATTTTGGCCGCATGAGCTCCCGAAAGTTGACCATCAAAAGCACTAAATGCTCTGGAACTGCTTTGGGCATAAGACCACGTGTATGGCTGGTCAGAACTTTATCACGGTGGCGTTTCCCCTACACTGCATGGATCTGAGCGCTATTTGAAGATCTGGGCTATTTGGGGATGTATTATTTGTGAGGTTATTGTATTATGCTTGTTTGATGTATTTTTAGGTTTTATATTTTTGTGTTTGCCTCTTTGTTCCTGGGAGATAATTAGCTTACCGGTCTTTAGCTCAATTATCTCCCAGGCACAGAGATCTTTGGGAGGGGCTTGCATTGTATTGTGTAGAAACCCCCTGCTGGGGGTTGTGTGTATATAAGTAGGCAACTTGGCCATATTAAACCAGTTCCTTTTCACCCTTCGCTCAGTCTGGGCTAGTGTTTGGGTGGATCAGCTATACTCTCTACAGGATAGCTTAAACACTTGAAGCTGTACCCAGGACTCTGTTCCAGGGCTGGAAGCGTAGTTGAGACCCCAGTGAAGCTGCGGCGGCTAGGGGTGAAGCACTCCAGTGTCCCAGAGAAGAGCTAGGAAGCAAGCTTGACTGAGGTACCCAGTCGAGGTGCCAGGCAGTCCATCACAGTCACTATCATCATTGGAACAGAAATAGAAAATTCCTAAATCCTAGATTGTTGGTGGGTCATGAGTTGGCAACTAACTGGTCTACAGTGTGAGTTATTGGGAATTTAAAGTGAATTTAAAATTTTAGGCCCAAAGTGATCTCCTGCTTAACCAGTGAGTGTCAGATATTTTCAATATTCACGCAGTATCTTTTATAGAATGTTTAAGAGCCAACGCACTCAAAGGAATAGACGTTATAACTTAATTCATATCCAGTAGCACTGCACTGCACTGTGTGCAGAGAAAATATAATCTGCTGAGTTTTGACAATGGGGAAACTGTGGATGTGTTTATGGCAAGCAGAAGTATTGTCCCTGTACCTTAAAGGACACCCAGCAACCATCTCCTAACCCAATCCTTTGTTCCATTACCACAAACCTTACTAAGATTCAAGTTCACCCCCAACTACATTCAGGGCCGTCTTTAATAACGAATGGACCCTGGGCAAGTGTTTGCTTGGGCCCCCTGTGCCCTGCCGCTCTCGCCCCTCACTCCCTGGTATGCAATCACGGCATCCATCCCAACGCAGTGGCGGTACTAAAGTAGAATGAATTTTATTGGGACCCCCAATTGCAAGGTTGGACTAAAGGTAGAACCCCATCTGTCGTGCAACTCAACAATGCTTTGACAGCTGGGACTCTACCAATTTCCCATGCTTGCAGGGTTGTATTTAGCACTGAGCCATGTTAGTATGTTTGAATGTAAGCATGTGTTTGTATGGAGTATGTTTGTGTGAATGTGTTTGTATGTGGTACTGGAGTTTGAATGCAAGTGTGCATTTATGTGTAGTGTTTGTTTTTGAATGTAGGAGTGTGCTTGTATGTAGTGTTGACGTTTCAATGCAGGAGTGTGTTTCATATGTAGTGTTGAAGTTTGAATGGAGGGGTGTATTTGTATTTAAAGTTGCGGCTCAGATGCACAGGTACACACTCTGACGCACAAGCAGATACACAGATACATACACTGACTACATACAGATAAACAGGCACATACACTGACAGACACACTGACACAGGTACATATATTGACACACACACAGACACATACACTGGTAGACGTACTGACAGACATACTGACACAGGCACATATACAGACATACTGACACACAGACACATATACCGACATACTGACACACACACAGACACATACACTGATCAACATACTGACACACATACACTGACAGAAATACTGACACCCACACACTGACAGATATGACTGACACTGACACCCACATACACTGAGAAATACTGACACACACACACACAGGCACATACACTGACACACACAGACTGATATACTGACACACACACACACAGACGTACTGGCACACAGACAGATATACTGACACATGCATACACATGCACTAACAGACATACTGACGTACTGACAGACATACTGACACATACACATACTGACACACACAGATATACACACACATATATACTGACACACACACACAGACATACTGAAACACACAGGCATGCTGACACACACACACACATACACTAACACACATACACTAACACACACATACACTTACACACATACACACACTAACACACATACTAACACACATACACAAACACTAACACACATACACTAACACACAAACACACACACTAACACACATAAACACACACATACATACACTAACACACACATACACTAACACACAAACAGACACACACACACACACAAACACACATTTTTTTTTTAAAAATGTAATCCCCCCAGCCTCCTTACCTTTTGGAGTGCTGGGGGGATTCCCTGGGGTCCAGTGGTGCTGCTGACCCCGGGTGGCCGGTCGGGCAGGAAGGCGGGCGCGCGAGGGAGCACTCACTGCTTCCTCTTCAGCTCCCTCGCGCGCCGCGTAGGGATGCCGGCGCCGGAAGATGACATCATCTTCCGGCTCCGGCATCAGTGCGGTGCGCGAGGGAGCTGAAGAGGAAGCAGTGAGTGCTCCCTCGCGCGCCCGCCTTCCTGCCCGACCGGCCACCCGCCCGCCGGGGTCAGCGGGGTCAGCGGGGCAGGTGCCTCGGGCCCCCCAAGAGAAACTGGGCCCGGGGCAGCTGCCCCGTTTGCCCCGCGTTAAAGACGGCCCTGACTACATTTAGTAAAAGGAATATATTCTATACAATTAATACCATTGTAATGGGTTATATACTGATTATCTTCAATGACATTGGCACAAAGATTGAGAAAATAATTTAGTACTTAAATGGAGCAAAATATATCACTGCACCTTTATTCAAAAGAATAAATAAAAATGTACACATACAAACATGTCAAAACAATTAAAGTACAACCACTGAAAACATTATGAAAAACAAACATTATCTTGAAAAATAATTCACCACTGTTTTAATTGTTTAAGACGCTTACCATGATTTCTTCATGTTTTTTTTTTTTAATCATCAACATTGAATTTTCTATTTGCGAGAGCTGCCATTTTAAGCTGTCATGGGTCATGATGCCATGATCAGCCTCACTATCCCGACTACTGCTCATTCACAGAGTGATAACATTAACTGTCGAGACTCTCTAAGATGAGCATTGAGGTGTCATGAGTACACTAGTCTCAGTTTTCAGTAGACCGTAGATCTCAAAAATTCATTCTAATCTGTGTTCAGCATAACATTAGATTTCTAGTTAAAACAGATGTTTAAAAAAAAAACTTTCAAAAGCTGTAAAGCAAAATTTTAAATTAATTTTATAGTTGCCGAACACTGCAGACAAGCCTACTATATATATAAGCATGCCATGCATCTACCAAACTCCGCAGAGCACAGTATGTCAGACCACATTTGTGTTCCATTATAAAATAATTATTCCTTATCAGGATATGTCAGAAAGGCTTTGCATGCATTATCTTTTAATTATCATATACCCTTTCCCTCACATCGAGAGGTGTTTGCATGTATACCATTTTAAAGGAAAGCTACAGGCCACCAGAACACTTCATCTCAATTAAATGGTCTGTGTACCATGTGCCCTCGTTTTAACCCAGCACTTCAAAACGGCAATGTTTACATTGCAGGGATAACCTGCCTTTAGTGGCTTTCAATATGACAGCCACTAGAGGCGCTTCTGTAAAATAGCCCCTAAACTACAACTTTCATACCCCTACACTACAGCCCTTATCCTCCACCCACCTCTGTCTTACAGCCCCTATCCCCCTATGCCCCTCTACACTACATCTATTTCCCTTACACTACAGCTCCATTCTCCCACGCTACAGCCCCTATCCCCCACAAATACACACTAACATTGTAGCCCCCTATGCTGTCTCAAACACACAATACAACCTCTATCCACACACAGACTACAGCCCCTATGCTGCCCCATATAAATGCACACACATTACACCACAAACATTTCTCTCCACACACAAGACCACAAACAGCCCCATCAACAAACACTCAAAATATCATTCCCATAGATATAAAATATCACAAACAGCGTCCACACAAACATACAATACTACAAGCAGCCTACAAACACAACACCACAGACAGCCTATCCCCACATATGCAACACCTCAAATAGCATACTCTCAGACATAGACAAGAAACCAGGCAAGCAGGTGTGACATTTTGAGCTCTTCACTAGGACTCTGTGCATGGACTAAATGGAGATGCCCACCTTGGAAGAGGCATGCATGTCATTGGTGATGCCAAAATTATTTAAAGCAAAATTCTAATCTAAGACCAAATTAGACAAATGGGGAGCATAGGCAACTTTAAGAGTATTTACAGTTTTTACTATTTTGGCCTGACAATTCTCCTATTAGATAATAACCTTGTAAAAAGTACATTTTGGTGAATTTGCAAAAATAATTCACCTTAGCAGATATTATGGTATAAAAATTGAATAAGGCTACAGACATATTTATTATTATTATTTTAAAAACCCTCAGTCGGGAACCTGCAATCTTCAAGGGCTTGGAACTGGTTTGGGGAGAAGGGAGATATGCAAATACAGGACTTGCCCACCCAAGCACCACACGACCTTGGTACACCTCTGCAAAGAGCTGGTGAGAGTAAAACTTTTTTTTTGTTGTTTAATAATGGTTATTAAATTGCTGCTCTGCATCCCTGAGACCCTGAAGCCTTTAGACACCCCCACACCCTAAATCCCCTCTCCAGCCTCTGGAAAACACTGCAGCCCCTATGTACAATCTAGAGCCTCTATACACATACACAAACACACATACGACAGTCCCTATACACATACATTTCACAATCCCTATACACACATTACAGCCCATAGATTCACACTACAGCCCCTATACATACATTACAACCTCCAGAAACAAGCTATAGCCCCTATTTAAACACGGTCCCTTGATACAAACTATATACACACATTAGAACCTCTAGATACAAGTTACAACACGAGTTCATACATCACAGATTTAAAAACAGTGTTAAGTATTTAGAGAAATACTCCAAGCACCATAACCTTTATAACCCACTGTAGTACATAGGTCCCACGGGCGCCCATTCTGCATCCAGTCTTCTCCTTCAAAAGATGTCGGATGTCTTCATAGAGCTACATCATGGCCTATGCAGTGGCATGATCATTGACTGAGAACACTCAGCTGACGCTCTCAGTTCAGTAAATGTTCCTCTAAGGACATTAAAATAGGGGCTGCAGGTTCGAGCATCAGATGAGACCCTGTTAAGCTGTTAAACTATTCTAAAACAGTATGACAAGTTACACTAGGAGTTTGCCAGAGTAGTCCTAACACCATAGCCCTGCAGAGTCCTGTATTGGATATAGTGTTTGGAGTGTTCCTTTAATAAATATTCACCTTATATAAAAAAAAATATATATATAAAAATAATTATAGTACTTTCAGGTGCTCACCCCTATGCTTCCATCCCATGTTAACGTAGTCTTAGATTACTACTAAGTTATGGTCCATTAAGTTGGCCATATTCTCATTTTTTTTCTAATGTATCTTTCTTCATCATCTACATTTTGCATTCCGGTACCTCTATAATGGATAAAATCAGTACATTCCATAACCTCCTCTGTATCTCCCAGCAGCAACTATACACAATATCATGCACTTTTGTCATGATATTTGTACCTTTTGCGTTCTGAAAACCTTAAGGGAATGAGCCCTATAATAGTTTCCAGTGAACTCCTCTCTTTTTTTGTTGGCTTTCTAAGGACGTTATATAGTATTGAACAGATGGACCCATTCTCACAAATCACAGATTTTAAAAAATAATACTTTACACTTTGTCATTTTAATATGACAGTTAGTGTAAAAATCTATCTGCAAATCTAGCAAGTATTTTTCCCCGATACCTGAGACATTTTTCTCTCTTTCAGTACAAATTGTAATGAAAAATATTTTTAAAATATTATCTTTTGAGCTGTTCTTTGCATATTTCATGCTTTATAGAGCCATGTTCATATATAAACCATAACATGGTTAGTTCTTCTCAAATCAAAAGTCTTGGCTTAGAGTTTCAATCCCATCACCACTAGAGTCAGGTGCGTTCTGATCTTGAGATTCGAGAAGGAGCAAGTTTTCTGATTTCAATTCTAATATTTCCCCTTGTGACTTCAGAAATCTAAATTAAAAGATAAAACATGAGTTTATTATTAGTCAATCCCTATATGTTTCCAGTTATTGAATAGCAAGGTATTTATAAAATGATTGCACTTAACAATAGTTATAATGATCACCTTTATTTCGGCTTTTCCCTTTACGCCAGCCTCACCCTATATGCCCATTTCTCCATTACGCAATAAGAAAAATTCACAGGCACTCCAAATGTGAAAGCTGCAGGCAGATTTATTGCAACAAAATGCACAGCAACGTTTCGACCTAACGAGAATATTTTTTTTATTCTTTATATATTTTTTATTATCTATTTTTTTTTTTTAATATTTTTAATTTTTATTATTTTTTATTATTATTAACTTTATTCTTTGTTATGTATTATTTATTTTTTATTTTTCTTTATCTATTGTCTTTCATTACTCGGATAGGCTTTCTTCATTAACGTTTTAGTTGCCTTCAATTAGCATTATTCGGTTATTTCCCAGTGGATGTAATGGCTATATTGCTGATGTTCCTTTTTGGTGCATGTAATTAAGTGTTCTACGTAGGACCAGTTATTATATTGAGTTCTGTTCTTGTCTTTGGTCACATGCTCCTTTTCTCCGTTCGTGTATTTGATTATACGAACGGTCAGTATTGTACTACAATTATATTCTGTTTGTACGTTCAGCCATTAGACTAAGTGCCTTTCGTGCATGTGTACGCATGCTCTGATAAGCCGTTCATTTAATTTAACACGAACTGCTACTATTTTTTTCTCAATGCTTGCCTGTAGGAAGTTCACTTCCTTGCGTTCCATTAACCCGATATGCGTTCCACTTATCCGGAAATGAGGTGTATTTGAACGCTTTGATAGGCGTTCTTACTTGTTTACCCAGGACATACTTGAAAACGAGAGAAATCTCAATGTATCTTTCCTGGTAAAATATTTTATAAATAAATAAATAATGTTTATTATTTTCTCTTTTCTTTTTCTTCTTCTTTTTTTCATTTTTTCTCTTAAATGTTTTTCTCTTATATTCTTCTTTTAAATTTTTTTGCTGTCTCCTCTACATGGCACAAATGGGTAAGCTCATGTTGTGATTGTTACACATGTTATATGATTATTTGTATATATACATCTTTTGTGTATTTTATGCACTTTATTTACAATGTGGTGTTACCTTGACAAAGACCTCTTGTTAGGTCGAAATGTTGCTGTGCATTTTGTTGCAATAAATCTGCCTGTGGCTTTCACATTTGGAGTGCCTGTGAATTTTTATTTTTGCCGTATCGTATTGGGATTGCTGGTCCTGTTCCAGAGCACCCGTGTCCGTTGGGAGTGAGTGCAGTTCCTGCGACCAACCTTTGATTATGTTAATCCCCCTGTGTATGCCTACTTAAGCTTTCGGTTACTGTCTCCTTAAAATCTGTGCTGTTTCAGTAATAAAAAGAAGTGTATTGTGAATTTTAGGGCTAGATTAAATTAAAAGATACAAGTATACCTTGGATAATTACAGTTGTGCTCAAAAGTTTGCGTACCCTTGAATAATTGGTAATATATGTACCATTTTTTTTTTTGTTGTTGCAATTTTTGAAGAAACAAGAGGCTTCACTCCATATTACAGATAACAGAAAGTTATGCATCATAAGACAATAAGAGCGTACAGAGGCTCATCCTAAGAAAAAACATCAAAGTGGTAGGAAACCTCGTGCCCATTTATAGTGAGGGAGAGGGAGCGGGGAGGGAAGGTAAGAAACAGGGAGGGGAATTGTGTCAAGGCAAGCTTCATTTAAGTTTTACAAAGTATTTGTTTCTTTTTTAGAATCGTCATTGAAGTCCTCTTTGCAGTCCCGGGACAGACGGAGCTGTCTTTCCATATACTGGTCCCACAGGTTCCATGCTTCAGACCAGAAGTTCTGAACCGTAGTAGTAGCTGCCCTGGCCATGGTTTCGTATCGTTTGGATACTTCTATATATTTGATACACAGCTGTAAACGTGGTGTGTGGGGGGATTGCCAATTTTTTCCGATCGTTCTCAGGGCTGGGAGAAGTATATGGTATACCAAATATTTAGTGGGTTTGGACATCTTATGTGGCAACAATTGGAGCAAATAATGAACAGGATTCAGAGGTAGGCAGAGCTTAACTACGTTCGATATAAGTTGCGATATTTGTTGCCAGAAGGGCTTAATTTTCAAACAGGTCCACCAAATGTGGAAGCTAGTGCCAAGAGAATCCTGGCACCTCCAGCAGTTTCCGGAGGCACCAGGATTGATATGCTTTCAATTTAACTGGCGTGATATGCCATCGATATAGTATTTTTCTGGACATTACTATATGCGTGGAACATACGTTAGATTCCTGTTTGCCCTAAATATGCTAGCCCACTGGGAGTCCTCCAGTCGCATATTGCAATCTCGCTCCCAGGTATGAAATGAGGGTGAGCTGTGCATAATTTGTGTATGAGTGTGTGGTACAAAAAAGAAAGCGGCCTGGGGGCATGATTAGTGTGAGTGCACCAGTGTTCCAGAGGAGATAGGTGCTTAGCATGTTCGGGTGTCTTGTCCGCATGGCGGTGTTTCCGAAACCAGGACTGTATTTGCATATACATGAAGTTGAAGGTATTTGGTATTTGGTATCTCGTCTGAATGGGACCAATGAATCATTTTCGATCACGTGGTGTAGGGATGTGATTCCATGGGCAACCCATTTTTGTGCCTTAAATTGAGGGATTAGTAGCCTGAGTGCCAGGATTTTTAGGGCTGGTGAGGGATGAGGTGACGGCCATGATTTGGCTCTGTGTTTGTCCCAAATGGACAGTGTGAGCTTGGTTGTGGACAACATGTCTTTGAAACGGGGTCTAAGGTGTCATGGAACCCAAGTGAGAACGATTATGTCATATCCCCCGTGTGTGCGGCCTCTAATTCGATCCATTCAGGCAATGGCTCTTGCCGGAATGCCATAATGAGTGGGCTAAGTATTGATGCAGAATAATAGGCATCTAAGTGTGGGATCCCAAGGCCTCCACGTTGGAAGGGTTTATATAGAGCGGAGGCGGCTATTCTCGTTTTTTTATTGTCCCATATGAACGAATTTAGCATGGCCTGAAACTTCCGAAGGACATGTGCCGGGAGCGGATATGAAGGGTCCGAAACAGATACTGGAGTTTGGGCAAAAGGATCATTTTCGCAGCTGCTATGCGACCCAACCAGGAGACATGCTTGCCCCTCCACCCCAATACCTGGCCCCTCATTGTGTTAAAAAGCTTAGTGAAGTTTGCGTGTAGTAAAGAATGTGGATTGGCTGTGAAGGCTACTCCTAAAAAGGTTAACTGATCATCTCGCCAGTCATATGGAAAGTTGATTTTCAGTGTCTGTATATCGCTCGACGGTATATGTATGCCCATAGCCTGCGTTTTTGTGATGTTCAGCTTATAGTATGAGCACGCGCTGTATCTAGCCAAGACATTGTGCAAAAAGGGTAGAGTCGTGTTCGGGGATTCAAGGGACAGCATGATATCATCTGCAAACATAGTGAGTTTATATTCCTCTTTCCCTACTTGGATGCCCTTGATATTTGTGTTTTCTCTAATTTGCATTAGACATCCCTGACGGGACCCGTTGGTGGTATTAAAGGTGGAGGAACTGAATCCGCTATTGGTTACTTGTGCCGATGGCGTAGAATACATTGCGGAGAGTAGTGACATAAAGTTCGGTGGAAAACCAAACTCCTGTAGCGTGGCGTTAAGGAATCCCCAGTGCACTCTGTCAAACGCTTTTTCGGCGTCTAGCGAGAGAAATACACTGGGTCTTCCCGTCGCCCTCGCCCGTAGCATTAAATCCAGGAGTTTCCTAGTACTGTCTGAGCCCTGCCTCCCCCTCACGAAACCCACTTGGTTTCTGTGTATCACTGAAGGAATGATAGTAGAGAGTCTGTTTGCGAATATTTTCGAAAGTAGTTTTGTGTTAGTGTTTAACAGTGATATAGGTCTTAAGTTTTGGGGTCTCGTCGGGGGTTTCCCGGGCTTGGGAAGTGTCACTATATGGGCTTGTAGCATTTCTATATGGGCTTGTAGCATTTCTGTGGGTATACGGCCAGTCTCTTTAATAGTGTTGAACAGTTTCTCCAAATACGGAGATAAGGTGGATGTGAAAGTCTTATAATATAGGTTTGTGAACCCATCTGGACCTGGTGATTTGCCCTGTGGCAAGGAACGTATAGCTTCTTCTATTTCCTCACTAGTGACCGGGTTTTGGAGCATATCTCATTGCGAAGGGGTTAGCTTTGGAAGGTGAGCCTGGGCCAAGAAATCTCGGATCTCCTGGTCCGTAGGCTGGTGCGTCTCGTCATCCTCGGCTAAGTTATAAAGTGTGTTATAGAAATCCGCTATGGTGGTGTTTATATGTTGGGGATTAGTGAGTTTAGTGCTTGACGAGGTGAGCAAGTATGGTATTTTAGATCGAACATGTTTTTGTCTTAATAAGGCTGCCAGGGCTTTTCCGGCCTTGTTGCCTTGCGAATAGTGTTTCATTTGAAGTTTAGAGAGCATGTGGGTCGTTTTCTGGAACAGAAGGTCATTAATTTGCTTATTGAGAAGGTATATGTGTTCCTGGCCTTCCTTAGTCGGGCAGATGAGTTGCATACTCGTTTGGTCTCTAAGTTGTTTGAGTAGTGATATATATTCATGCTGAGCTCTCTTTTTCAAGAAAGCCGCCCGGCTAATGATGTGGCCTCTGATCACGGCTTTGTGAGCTAGCCATATGTGTGGGATTTGGGCATTGGCTGTGCAGTTCAGTTCAAAGAACGAATTCAATTCTTTGTCTAAGTGCTCTTTGTAAGAAGGATCTTGAAGAATGCTGTCGTTTAGTTTCCAGGGAGATGTACCCCTGTAGCGGAATTTGTCTTTTATTAAGAGAGATACTGGTGCATGGTCTGACCATGTTAAATCACCAATTGTACTATTTGTTAACGAGGGGAGGAGAGGAGCCGATACAAGGATATAATCAATGTGCAAGTTAGTCTTGTGGGCTCGCGAGTGGTGTGTTTATTCTCGTGAGTGGGGCTGTATCATTCTCCACGCATCATACAAATTGAATTCAAGTAATAGCCGTGTTAGGGCCCTGCACTGGGGTCGAAGGGCTGCATGCCTCCCAGTATGATCTGGAATTGTTGTGTCCAGCTGGTGGTTTAGAACATGATTCAGATCGCCACGTAAGATGAGATTTTGATGTTGTGGACTGGGTATTTTAGTTAGGACCTTGTGTAAGAAATTCCTTTGATTCGTATTGGGGCTGTACACCAAGGCTATAGTATATTGGGTGTCATTAATAGTGCAGTGTATGATAAGGTATCTGCCTTGAGGATCTTTTTTCAATTGAAGTAGCTCAAATGTTAGGGATTTATGAAAAAAGATTGAGATTTGGTGGAGTATGTGGAGTGGTTTTGAACGGGATACTCCTGTTTTGCGAAAGAAGGAATTTTCGTGTGTGTGAAATGAGTCTCCTGGACACACAATATGTCCACCTGGTCTCTTCTGGCAGCGTCCAAGAGGACTCTACGTTTGTGCGGGGTATTTAATCCGCACGCATTTATCGTTTGTACTTTCAGGTGTTAGCTGTATGATGATTCCGTGGGGCCCCTTTTTTTTTTTTTGGTGTCCCCGGTCTGTCTCGGAAGAAGCATGTTTAAAGTGATGTGGTGATGGGTAGCTATGCCTCGGACACAGGATGCGAAACTTGGGTGTGGGAGGAGGGTGGGGGATAGTGGGAATATATACAAAGCCCCTGCACGAAGGGGAAACGTTAGTCTCCAGTGGTGTGGCGTGTGGGCTGGAAGTAGCTTTGATGTTGAACAGAACCTGTTAGAACTTTTTTTTTTTTGAGTTAACACAGCATGGTTGAACCTGCTATTGGAGCTAAAAACCCATAGGAAACAACTAGTGGGCTCACGCAAGGCTGCAATGGTGCGACCCCAGTCTCTGGGAATTTGTGACTAGCTATATATATATAGTGTTGGCTTTTTTTTCTCCTCATTCTTCCCTTACATTTAGGGATTTTAGGCTTTTCAGTATTGCGCTGTATGGCTCCCCCATCCCCACCACCCTGCAGCCCGCGGGCACCCCTGGCACCCCTCCAATCCCCCACCCGCCACCCCCCCAGCGCAGGAACCCACTCAGCAAGCCCCCCTGCCCGGGGAAAGGAGCAGGCAAGCACCAAGGACAGCTACCGGCCAGCACCCGGGACCTCCATCCGCCACCGCAGGGCACACCGCGCGTCCCCCCCTCCCCCCCCCTCGTGGGGAGGCGACAGGGGGAAAGCCCCGGGACCCCCGCGGACGCGAACCGAAACCAGGAGAAAGACCCAAAGGGGGGAACAAGGTGCCGCTGCCATATTAGTCTATGCATACATAGTGTGCCAGTCTATTGGATACATGAGCCAGTCTATACTTGCGTGTCCCAACATGCCGCTAAGAGAGAGGGTTAATGACCGCCCTGGTTTTTCTGCCAGTCCAGTTTAAGCTTGCTCGGGACCGAGGATTTACTCTGCTCTGTTAGAAGAGTGATGCCCCACTCCTTCAGCCGAGTTGCACCTTCTTCTGGAGAAAGGATTGGCTGCAGCTTCCCCTCTTTTGATACCAGGATTTTCGTGGGGTATCCCCATCTATACTTCAGTCCGTTGTCGCGGAGAGCCGTGGTGATCCTCGCGAAGTCCTTCCTCCTGTGGAGAGTGGCAGCTGATATGTCAGGGTAGATCTGCACGTCCGAGTAGCCCTCTGGAGGGTTGGGTAAGCGCCTGCTAGCATGAAGGATGTGCTCCTTAATGTGGAAATAGTGGGCGCGTAGTAGGATATCCCTGGGTGAGGAGTCAGACAAGTGCCTCGGGCGGGGAAGTCGGTGAACTCTGTCGAGCAACAGCATATCCGACGGGACCTCCGGCGCATACGCGCTGAGAAGGCCCCTCACATACGCTTGTAGATCTGCCGGCTGAACTGACTCCGGAACACCTCGTATCCTCAAATTATTCCGCCGCGCCCTGTCTTCTATATCCGCCAGTCGAGATTTGGTAAGTGCCAATCTATCTTCCAGGGACTCCACATGCACCGCCAGATCATTATGAGCCACCGCCACTTAATCCATTTTGGATTCGAGGTGCGAAGTGCGCCCGCCAATATCTTGAATGTCTCTGCGGAGTGCATCAATAGAATGTTGCCATGATTCAATGAGCTTGTTTGAGAGGGGTTCTAGCGCCCGGGTCAGGTGTCTCTTTGTCAGGGTGTCGTCGGCCTGTATCTGGTCGTGTGATTAACCTTCCTCCTCGGCGCCATCTGCGCCATCTTGGCTAAGGGGGAACAGGCCTGTAGGAGTTTGTGGCGTTTTTTGAGCAAAGAAAGTGAGCTTGTCTGCTCTGGTCGCATTTTTCTTCGCTTTGTGTTGCGCCATGTCGGGTGAGAAGGGTTGAAAGCGGTTCTGTGTGAGAAGATGGTATTAGATTACAGCCCTTGTGCCGGAGAGAAGGATTATGCGTCCATCTTGTCTGGCGGTAGCCACGCCCCCCTCATATGTACCATTTTTAAAGAAAACACGAGTTAGCAGGAAAAAACACATTTCTTTTATTTCTTATGAGGTTCATATTCAACTGTAGGTTTTAACAAAATGGCACAATCTTAAAACAAAATGTGGCAACAAAGTAAAAAAATAAAATGGCCCCTGTTCAAAAGTCTGACTGGCATTGTCAAGGCTTTTGATATCTTTTTATATTCTTTTCAAAGTTCCATTACTTTGTTATGGTCCTTTGACACTTCTTTTCTGCTGCCCATGGCTCAGTATCTAGCCTGCTTAGTGCATCCATGTGAGCGCAAACAAACGCTAGGGCGGGGGAGCAGAGACAGAACAGCCTGCTCCCCCTGCGGCCGCCAGAAGAGCTCCCCCTGTGGCCGCCATCCAAATTCTCCCTGCGGCCGCCATCCAAGCTCTCCCTGCGGCCGCAGGTCACCCAAATGTCTCCCCGTCCCAGGTGCTGACGGCCCACCGGGAAATTTCCCGGTATCCCGGTGGGCCAGTCCGGCCCTGCTAACGCGTTTCAACCCCTCACGGGTCTTTTTCAAACTGCATGTAATCCTTGAACTCATAAGTCCCCTTTTTAAATCATTTAAATTTGCATCTGTAAGTGTGTCAGTGTTTGATACACGTAGTGACCCATATGCAGATACACAGATGCACACATACATCTGCATGTATTTCAGTGTTTGTATTTCTGTGTCTCTATCTGTATGTGTGTCAGTGATTTTATATGTATCTGCATGTGTCAGTGTGTGTATCTCTATCTGATTGGCCAGGGTGGCATTTGGCTCTGCCCCTGGCCCACCTACTTGGCTGAGATAATCAGAATTGACAATCTCAGTCAGTCCAATGCTTTCCTATGGGAAAGCATTGGGATTGCTGAGATCATCACTTCTAATAAGGTCAACAAAGGAAGCAGATCTGGGGCAGAGTCAGCATGAGCAGGCTGTAATAAAGGTAAGATTTTGCTATATGTAGGGGGACAGGAGGGCTACATAGTGATTTTAACACTATAGGGTTAGGAATACATGTTTATGTTCCTGGCTCCACAAGCTTCTCTCACAAGCCTTCCTAAACCTTTGAAGATAAAAGGATTATGCTTCATCTGCTAGAGGATTACTGGAGAACGGACACTGTACCATTTAACAAGTGGACTCTAATACTGATCTCTTGGAGGACAACTCACATTAATCTTAAGTATAACTTCCAATCTATTATCTGGAATCTCAGTTATTAATGAACTGTTTCTTGCTTGCTCAAATCCTCTCTGCTGAATACACACTAATTATATTGAGGATAACTCCCATCAAGCTTAACCAGTATGAACTGTTTCTTGCTTTGCAAATATTCTCTGCTACCTGCATACTATTTCTATTGAAGATTATTCCTATGAACCTAAAGAATATTATTCAATACATCTCTGAGGAAATACTTATTGATGAACTTTGTATTGTTTGCTATAGCCATCAATTTCTTATTGAATTATTACCTATATGCTTTTCACAATCATTAAAACTTCGTTTGATTCTTTAATTGCCAGCAATCCTCTCTTTTCTTAAAGCTACAGTATTGATAATTTAAAGATTCTCAGTTTCTTCACTATTGTAATTAAGGAGTTCTACAAGCTGCAGTTGAGTTCCAATTCTAAAAACTCAAGTAGCATAACACTGTCTGCCTGTGTGTGTGTGTATGTGTGTGCCTGTCTGCCTGTGTGCGTGGCTGTCTGTGTCTATGGCTGTCTGCCTGTGTGTGTGACTGTCTGCATGTAACGGTATATGTGTGACACTGTATATGTGGCTGTATGTACGTGACAGTCCATCTGTACCTGTGTGTGTTTGTAATTGTCTGCCTGTAACTGTGTGTGTGTGTGTGTGTGTGACTGTCTGCCTGTAACTCTGTGTGTGTAATGAATATTTATTTTTAAGCCATTATTAATTTAATAAATCCCCTATACAATCACTACACTTCTATACACACACTATACATGGCTGACAGGGGAGGGGGAACACTGCGAAGATGTTTCACACAGGGCGCCTAAAGGCCTAAGGCCGGCCCTGACTGTAGCAGAACTCCCTGTACCCCGGCTGGGTACCTCCGCCAAGGACTGCTTCCTAGCTGGAACAGCGACAAACCGCAGCACTTCTGCCCACAGTCGCCGTGGCTTGACTGGGGCCCCTGAATGGGGAATTATTCCCAAGCACAGAAAAACATACAATTTTATGAAACCCGAAAAAGTACCTTAAAACCACATAAAACCCCATAAGAGATACATATCCAAAAATCACGCAGATCGGTTCAGGGGTTCAGGAATTTCCTGGAAGTCATAATTTTGACCGACCATGCACATGGTCCTGTGCCCAAAACAGTTCCAGGGAAATCCGTGCTAACAGTCGGTCAAGTTTGGTAGTCTTTTACAGGTTTCACTGCAGGAGGCTGACAAGCAGGCTCCTCCAGGAGCTTGTGGCAAACTCACTTGTAGAGGGGAGTTTGTCACAGTGACTATAGTGTCCCTTTAATGTAAAGGGCCACTCCAGACCCCTAAAGCACTTTAGTTTGCTGAAAAGCTTTATGTGTGAAAAGTGTGTCCTCCTTTTTTTCATTTTGCTAAATGTGCATATTTCAGTAGAAACTGACACTTTTAGAAATTAACCTGGTTACACTCTCTTGGCTTTCAAGTAGACAACAGGTAATACTACTTCCTGGTTTTGTTAGCTCAGTGAAGCTAAACTCAAGAGACAGCAATTGCCCAGAGCACCTGCCTTCTCATTGAGCTGCATTAGGAAATCTGTTTTTATGTATACCCCCAATGAAAAAATACACAGTTAAATGCAGACAAGTTTACATTTGGCATATATTTATTGAACAGTGATTTTTTATTTATTTTGTATTTGAGCAGTGAAGTGTCCCTTTAGAACAGTTTTGTCCATTTGGGATCCATATGCAGCAGAAGATGTTTAGTGCCTAAATAACCAGATTTGACTGAACATACAAGTTAGTTGTACATGTCCTGCTCGTAGAGAGACAACAATTGTTCTGCCAACAAAACTGTTATGGGGAATGCTTAGTTAACCTAGTTTTATCTGCCACTCACCATATTATAGCAGCAGCCTGCAGGTTATGGTGATCTGTGTCTTTGTTTGTGCTCTTTATGTTATTGTTACAGCTAGAGGTTGACTGTTGTGGGTTCTAGCCAGCATGAACTGGGTGTAATAAAAACACGAATAAAGTGTTATAGATCAATCTTGTCACGATCTAGTGGAATTCGACCAGCTGGCATCTCTAGTTGGGTATCTTGTATTTTAATAAAACTTTTACATTTAGCATTCATATTATTTTTATAGAAAGTTCAAGGTGTGGTTTTACGCAATAGGGCCATCAAGTACATAGTACTCTCCAGAAATAACAATAACCTGTTTATTGACTATATCTCATTCAATCCCATGGTTTACCTGATTTTGAGCCATTGTCATGATCCACATTTTCCATGTAGCATACAATTTCTTCATCCTGGTCTTTGCGTACTCTATTTGATAGGTTAAGAGGTCCATCTTGATAGTGATTTATATCACTGATTGATGATAACATTGTAGTTATATTGCTCGTATGACTTGTTGCTGCACCTGAGGGAGGTATATACTCATTCAGTAGTGATTTTAATATGATCTTAATGGACATCAATGTATTGGATATTTTGGCTAGATTATCTTGCGTTCTTATCTCTCAATATCGGATTTCGATCAAGGGAGTCACTTTTCTTGTTAGAACAATTTCTTTGTTTTCACAGTTTTTGTTTTTTTTTGTATTTTTTGTAGTTTGTGATAACAACACTGACAGGTAATCACATTTCATCATAACCATATAAACATAAAAGGTAGAAATATAAAAGTACATGTCGAGAATACTGCACAATTTTACATTTGCTCATCTAACTAGAGAATACCAGACATAGAACTCCACTAGATATGCATAGTAGTTTGGTAGCTATTAATTCACTAGTTGCAAAATAAAGCAATTATATGCAAAGTAATAATGTGTGTGTCTGCCTTTCAGTGAGTGTGTGTGTGTCAGGGTTTGTGTGTTATTGAGAGTGAGTGCCAGTGTGTCTGTCAGCAGGGCCAGCCTTTGGGCTGTGCGGTCACGCAGGGCGCCACGACAACGGAGGCGCCCGGCGGCCAAAACAACTCGCAAGTTGGGGACACCAGCATATTCAATTTAAACAATTCCCTGGTGGTCCACAGCAGTAGGTGCAGTCAGATCATATCCTCTACCTTGTAGTTCCAGTGCTCAGTTAGTGAGTCAGAGCACAGGCTCGGAGATTCTCAGCCTGCGCTCTGACAACATTGAAAGTCAGAGCCACGAAGGAGTGGGTATAGCAAAGAGCTACTAATTTGCATAACATCAATATCCGTTATAAAACCAGGAAAAGGTGGGCATGGATGGTGAGCTGAATCGGTGGTGCAGTGGGCCACTTGACTGGATTTTCCACCCAGGTGTCACGGGTGGTGGTACATAGACCGGGATCACTGTGTGCCTGATGATGATAGGAGTTAACCTTGTGGAAATGAACAATCAGGCCTGGTGCAGGGCAACCACACAACCCCTGGTGTTGAGCACCAGGGTTTGTGCGCCAACATACCAGGGCCCTGATGCAGCTTCTGCGGATCCCAGGAACTAGGAGAAACTATGCAGACCTCCCAGGATCTGGACATGGAGGCTCTGCAGCAGACATGTATCCAGTACTAGAAACAAGGCAAGACTAGAACAGGCACCAAACAAGATAAGACAAGACTAGATTAGACTAACCCAGAACCGGAGAAGGACAGAAAGCAGAGTCCAGAACATGAACACAAGACATGAGGGAAACCAGAACAAGGCATGGATGGGAACTGGGAACTGGGAAGACAAAATAAAACAAGACGAGATACAAGGCGAAACAAAAGAACACATAACTAAGTACTAATATGTGTAATAAACATTGGAGATTTAGACATACATAAATGGCCAAGATGTATGCAGCCCACCACTGCGCCAAAGTACTCCAATTACGGTCCTAACTGCCTAAATATGCATGACTAAATAAACAATAATAAAACACACACAGCACTTACCTGCAAAGGAATGAGCAGAGAAAATGAAAACACTGCCTGCAGGGCCAAACTGAAACAAAAAGGATTAATGGAAAAGGAACGGGTGTGGCAACAAAAAACAAACATTTAAAGGAATCCAAGAGACTGGGAATTCCAGGAACGGAATACAGGAATGAACCCAGAAAACCCAGCATAAAGAAAACCAGACAGAATAGAAAACCAGAAAAAACAAGAAAAATTAAACAAGAATTGAAAAAAAGAGTACTGGATACCAGAAGCCATCGCCAGAAATGATCCACAGAAGGAACAGGACGTGACACCAGGCCTGAGGCTGCCAGCCCTTCCCTACATATTTGGGATGTTGGTTGCCCTCTTTAAGCAACTCTCTCCAGGTGTGTGCACTTTTATCTTTAAATTTAATTTCAGTGACACATTTTATAGATTTATTGAAACAGAAAATAAAAAGGGGATTAGGGAAAAACATAATACATAAACAAAGACAATACAGCAAAGAAGCATCCAAAGGCATATTTTGCATATAAAACAATGCATGACTTAGGTTACAATTCACATTTGCCAGTGTGTACAACAGCAGTTACATCCAATGTAATACAGTTGAAAACTCCTTTTAGCAAGGACATGATGCATACTGGACACAGGAACTCACATCTCAGGCATTAGGGACCAAAGCATATGTTTATTTAAAACGTGGCGTGCTAGAATTAAAGTTCTTCCACCCCTCAAGGTGTGTAAGGTTGTGTGTTTTGTATAAGAAGGTCAAAAAGACCCCGTTGTCTGAGGGTAAGTACTGCCAACTCTTCATATGTATTATTGGCATGTATATTCTCCAATAACTCTTGGATAGCTTTGAGTTTTTCCAGTTAGAGGCAATATATCTAGCTGTTAATATAATATTGGTTGCTAATACCCTATCTGAGAAAGCTATAGTTTTGTCCATGTGTAGACAAGGAGAAACCTCCAAGGAGTTAGAATAGTGGGTAGAGCACAGGGGGCAAATAACACTAAACAACCGTGACCAGATTGGCTGAAGTGTTGCACAGCTCCACCATATGTGCATCATGTTGCGTAGATTGACTCTTCCAACATAGTGGCGATATCGAGGGGAACATCTTATGGACCTTCTCCAGAGAAAGGTACTTCTGGTATACCAGGTATTGGTGGGCCTCTACGTGGTTGTAAAAGCACTGATTGCTTTGACCTATTCCTGAGCTGTGAGAGCCCGGACACCTTCAATCAAGCATATTGGACTGTTTTTTAAAGGGAAACATCCATGTATTAAAGTGTAGCATTTCATAAGTAGCTTAGATTGTGTGAGAGTGACAAAAAAATATATATATTTCAGTAATAAACTCTTCAACTGTAAATAATTATATATTTGGTTTTTAAAGATAATTTCTGTTTGAAATATTCAAATTAGAGAATTGCCCTGTTGTATATAACCTGTGTAAGATATGTGCTGTTTTTTTTTTTTTTTTTTATAATTTAGATAGATACAATATGTAATTGTTTAAGAGACTACTATTTCACTAGACACTCGTGCTTCCAAACATTGTGGCTAGTAGAACATAGCATGTGAAATTACTTCTAATCAAAGCAATGTGCAGGATGTATATACATATATAACTCCACAGTGCACACTCTCAATGCTTCAATTTGTGTTTGCCAAATGTGCTATCTCCATCCCAGTGTATAATCCATAGAAGGAGGTCTTAGAAATATTTGTAAAAGTATTATTCCATTAACAGATCAACATTTCGGTCCTCAACAGGTAATCTTCCACTACTAACTCAAGAGGTCACAAATATAGACTTTAGCATGATCTTAAACTTGCATGGTGCTCACGTTAATTTTAATACTTACTGCTATTAATGCACACATTTATTTTCTCTTGGTCCATTTGTCTCATTGAATGCCTGAAGAATGGATGACTTAACAGTGATTTTCTGTGTGTTTTGATGCATGATAATAATTCATACAAAACATCCCCTACAATGAAAACAAAACTTTAACACTCATATTTATTTCTTCTACAAGACATGAGAAGTGCATTTAAAATACACACAAATACACGTTTGGGATAATTCTGTTGTTCTGGGGTAAAAACTACAACATTGGCAAGTCTGTGTATCTAACAAAAACACACAAAGATATGGCATGAGAACAAAATACATATATGGACTTCAAGAACGCAGTGTAAATATTTGTATCAAGATAAGTATTGACATACGAGTGATTTCAGTGATTTGATGTGAGTAATAAAAAGTGAAAGTGCTGTAAGATTAACCGTAATGCTGATATATCTTAGATAATATTGTTCCCAAATCCATGGCATAGAGCCACAGTAATTGCTGCTTACTAGGGTACCTTTTGTGAAATCCCAACAGACAGAATATATATATTGTACCACAGCTTGAAACTAATGAGACTAACCGATCCCTCTGCATCCTCCCAATAAAATATTGGGAAGTGGAGGTTATAGCAAAAACCTTGCTTGTTTAGTTTGACAAGCAAAGTTTTTGCTATAACCTCCACATGCCTGATTATAAGACATATCACAACATACATTGCCACAATTGATAATATGAAATGTCTACAACTAAATAAATACTACTAAATAAAAAAATACTACTTCTCTATTTAAGCAGTTCCCGATGCACCCCAGCTAATCAGTATAACCATTCTAAAATAGTTTGACTACTTACAATATTGTGACAGTAAGGTACCCTGGCACCATAACCACTACAGCGTGATGTAGTGGTTATGGTGCTTGCAGTGTCCCTTGAATATTGCAAATAAAAATTGCTATTCTATGTCCAACCTGAACTTGGAGATCGGTTCTTAAAATCACTCTTTGTAAGGATGCAGAGGCCCCTTCCATTCATTACAAACTTGCTATCATCAGTCCTCTGCAATGAATATTCTTCCTCGGCCCATCTTAGCCAATGGATGACATCCTCTTTACTCCACAAAAATGGATGAATTCCTGAAAGATAGACAAAAGGAAAAACTGACTCTGTACATAAAATGAATCAATTAAGAAAGAAATAAGCAAAATGTGAGCATTCTATCATCTTCTTGCTAAACCACTGCCATTCCGTACGTAGGTGAAGCTGATAAGAGTTTTGTAAGCAGATTTCAAACTTATGAATTTCGATCCGTGTTCTATGATTCCCACTTTCCTTATCCTTCCTCTTGTTGGTTCTTTTCCAAGATATACAAAATAAGAGAGAAATTACATCATATGTAGACATATGAGTAATTATGTACAAAGAACACACCTGAAGCTAATTCTAAATGTAGAGAAATAAAGTTTTAGACAGTTCTACTTCACCCTCAATTTGGAGTCCTGTCTCTTATTGGGGGAATCTGCTAGAAGGGATTGCTATGCTCTGCATATTCCCTTGCTGTAATTGCTCCTAAGCTCTTTTAAGAGCTCGTTCCTGCTTCGCTCTGAAGGAAGAGAGATTCGGCCTGCGGTGGTTGTGGTGTAGGCTAGAGTGCTTGGAATCCTTCAGAAGCACTAGGAGCAACCATCAACGGAGGTACCCAGTCGGGGTGCCAGGTGATCCGTTACACTAGTATAGCCTCAGTATCAAACTGCCTAGACAAGGCGTCAGCCTTGACATTTTTAGAACCAGATCTGTAGGTGATAAGAAAATTAAAGCGAGAAAGAAATAGAGACCACCTAGCTTGTCTAGAAGATAATCGCTTAGCATCTCCTATGTAAGCCAGGTTTTTGTGATCAGTAATGATCAAAAGGGGGTCCTTGGAACCCTCTAGAAGATGTCGCCACTCCTTGAGAGCTAGAATAATGGCCAGCAATTCTCTATTGCCAATATCGTAATTGCGCTCAGCAGGAGACAACTTTCTAGAAAAGTAACCATAAGGATGTAACAGAGTTTCCTGGTTCTCCCTCTGGGAGAGAACTGCCCCTACCCCTGTCTCTGAAGCATCAACCTCCAGTATGAAAGGCTTGCTGGTGTCAGGATGTATCAATATGTCGGCTGAGGCAAACTGCTGTTTGAGAGGTTCAAAGGCTTCAATTGCCTCCTTAGACCATATCGTACTACTAGCCCCCTTGCGTGTCATATTGGTGATGGGGGCTATTACTGAAGAAAATCCTTTTATAAATCTTGTGTAATAATTGGCAAAACCAATGAACCTTTGAATGGCTTTCAACCCAGTGGGTAAAGGCCACTGTAGAACAGACTCTAGTTTTTTAGGATCCATCTGAAACCCAGAGGCAGAAATCTTATATCCTAAAAACTGTACTTCAGACTGGTCAAAGATACATTTTTCCAATTTGCAGAACTTGTTTAACATGATCGTGGTGAGACTGGTGGTCAGGAGAATAAATAAGGATATCATCCAGATAGACCAAGACAAATTAGTAAATGTAATCCCTGAGTACATCGTTAATTAAATCTTGGAAAACCGCTGGAGCATTGCACAACCCTAATGGCATCACTTGATATTCATAGTGTCCACTTCTGGTATTGAATGCAGTCTTCCACTCGTAGTTTTCCTTGATTCTCACTAAATTGTAAGCGCTTCTAAGGTCAAGCTTAGTAAACACTTTAGCGCCCTGGAGTCTGTCAAATAATTCAGCAATAAGAGGAATGGGGTAGGCGTTCTTAATGGTGATTTTGTTCAATGCCCTGTAATCGATTCAATGACCGCAACTCACCATGCTTTTTAGATACAAAAAAGAATCCTGCACCTGCAGGCGAGGATGATTTTCATATATGGCCTTTGTTCAATGAATCTTTAATATATTCCTCCATTACACTACTTTCCTGAGGAGATATAGCATAGACTGCTCCCTTAGGTGGCATAGCACCTGGTATTAAGTTCATGGAACAGTCATATGGTCTGTGAGGAGGTAGAGTATTAGACTAAGTCTTGCTGAATACTTCTTTAATGTCTTGGTATTGTATAGGGATCTCTGGATTTGAGGTGTACTAGTGGGTAATTCAATAGTGCCTACTCTTTTGGTGACAATCCTTACCCCATTCTAATATTTCCCCATTAGCCCAGTCAATATGAGGGTTACACTTGCTAAGCCATGGGAATCCTAATATAATAGGACAAGAAGGAGATGCAATCACCTGAAATGTAATCTCTTCCTTATGTAATGCACCAATGGGAGTGGTCTCCCATCAATAGCTTCAACAGCTAGGGGTGATAGTCTCTCTTTGATAGGTATAGTATTACCTTTGACAAATTGAATATTGATGAAGTTTCCAGCAGCACCTGAATCCATCAGGGCTTTGCATGAAAAGTTATTTTTGTCAAAGGCGATAGAAATGTCAAGGAGAAACCTATTTTTATTCTTTTCAGAGGACGTTTCCATTACACCTAAAACCTGTCCCTTTAAGGTGCTTAGGTGCGGTAGTTTTCCGGATGTATGGGAAAATTGTTTCTCATATGTCCCTTCCTACCGCAGTATAGACATAGGCCTTCTTTTCTCCTATATTGTCTTTCTGCTTCCGACAATCTAGTGACCCCCAACTGCATGGGTTCGGGTTCGGACTATACAGAATTTTCAGGGACAATAGGTCTGGAGAAACAGGGTGCTAAATGCATACTCATGCGTCTGGTCTTGCTTCTAGTAGCTTCTCTGGTTCTTAATCTATTATCAATCTGCATGACAAGAGTGATAAATCCATTAAGCTTTTTGGGTCTTTGGCGGCAATCTTATCTAGCATAGTTTCAGATAATCCCTTTTTAAATGCAGAGATTAACCCACTATTAGTCCAGTCTACCTCGGAAGCTAGGGTACGAAATTCTATGGCATATTCCGAGATAGACTGGTTCCCTTGTCTGATGTGCATCAGGGCAGTAGAGACGTCATCCTCTCTGCCTAAAGGTTCAAACGTAAGTTTGAATTCCGTAAGGAACTCCTGGTAATTGTGTGCCACACTTCTATTACTCTCCCATAATGGATTGGCCCAAGCTAAAGCTTTACCTTTTAATTGATTCATTAGATAACCAATTTTAGCTCTGTCTGTGGGAAAAGATCCCGGTGAGGCCTCAAAATGATACTCCATTTGGTTAATAAATCACCGGCATTCTTGAATATTACCATCAAAATGCAGGGGAGGAGATAGCGAGATAGTAGGTGCCTTGTGTACTATAGCTGGAGGTAGACAATGTGGAGGTGAGGCCGCAGGTTGCAAATGCGCTGTTCGGGTAAGAAGCGTACTGAAGGCCTGGGCAAATTGATCCATGCGTGATTATTATCCTCCAGTTTCCTTTCACAAGCAGTGAAAAGCTTACACAATTCTACAGGATCTATGGCCATGTTGTAATGTCAAGATTACAGTATGATCCAGCACGTAGAATTGTGTAACACAGAGGACTGATAGGTAACGTATACCGAACCTTAGAATGGCCGGACTAACGTACCAAAGAATAGTCAGGAATAGCCGTGGTCAAGGGATACATTAAGAGACACAACGATAAGGAAAAACCAGGAGTCAGGGATGCCAGAAAACAGGGAAGTCAAAAACAATGCCAAACTTGAATAACCAGAATCAATAACACCCTCTCGGACAACCACAAGGGAAACCACGACAGGGCACTGAGCAGGATGAAAACTGGGCCTAAATACCCCTCCTCTAGATCTGATAGGCTGTAACCGACCTTTGACCCCAAAGGCAGTTACCAGGTTCCCATTTGCATAATTGCTGCTCAGCATTAACCCTTCTGTGCATTTGGTTGCTGCTCGGCACAACTTTTCCTGTGTGGACAGTAAATGCCATTAACCACATTTTTATAAGTGGATGAATACGTGACACTGGGACAGAATTGCCCGCAGAGCCCACTCACCTGCTCCCTCAGCTGCAAAGCCGATCCCAAGAGCTGCCTCAGCTACTCTTTCCTCTTTTGAGCAGGGAGCCCACTTGGAGATCACTCCTGGCTGGGTGCCGGACTTTATGTCGTGACCCACCTGTAGCATTGGTTGACCGAAGCTGATGGCTACATGACATATTCCTAACATTTATTTAGTTCGGATCTCTGATTTCTTTTTTTTTTTTTAATATTACTATCTTTCATTACTAAACCTAACCCAGTGGCACTTTTAGCGAGGACATGTTTATTCATTTAGATAATGAGCTATCATCCTTGTTACAACATGCATTTGTGCTTGGCTATCTTCCTACAGTGCTGTGCTAGTTATTTGATCTTTGACCCGTAGTCATCTACACCTTGTTATTTGACTGAACATGTTAGCTTGTCCTCTCTTGTTTTTATCTTCCTTTTAATACTAATCGATAGATCTAGAAATGCTTAATTCAAGCTTGTTTTCTTTAAAAGATAAGCTGCAGATTGTTAGTATGCTCAATCTAAATATTACTTATGCAATATCACTCATTTACAATATAGCTTGCTTATTTTTGCCTAACCATGTGCTTAGTCTGACAAAGATGTAACTAAAGAGTGCAGAATCTACGCAATGCCAACCAATGTAATGCTTTGTTTTACCTTGTTTACTAACGTGTGCTGTTGGGGCACTGCAAGCTAACTTGTTATATCGCTGTGCACAGCATTAATAAAGAATTATAAAAAAAACTAATATGGGGGTCTTGTTGAACCACCTAGGCCAGGGGTTCTCAACCCAGTCCTCAGGACCCCCTACCAGTCCAGGATTTGGGGATTACCTGGGTGTGTCTCAGGTGTTTACAAAAAGGGAAAAAAACACCTTAGACTCTAAGGTGTTTTTTCCCCCCTTTTTCTAAACACCTTAGACACACCCAGGTAATCCCTAAACCATGGACTGGTAGGGGGTCCTGAGGACTAACATTGAGAACCCCTGACCTAGGCCTTTTAATTATTTATTTTGATTTTTTTAATGTGGCGGCTGTCTAGCAAGGGTTTTTAACTATTCATCTGCCGACTGCTAGCAATACCAGCATGCAAGCAGTTTTGATTTTTTTTTTTTAATCCAGGGTCAGATTTGAAGCATTCAGCATTGGATTTAAAGCATTCGGCATGGGATTTGGAGTATTCATGTCTGGATTTCAGCAGTCTGTTTGGTGTTTGGTCTGGCTTATATCAGAAAAACCAAATTCAGGCTCATTTGCGAACTGCGTAGCAAAAAATGCAGACATTGTTGAATGGCATGAACAATGTCTAAATTGTGCAAAGAAATTGTCAGGAATTCAAAGATAGTTCAGAGAAAATTGTTACAGTTCAGTTAATCTGGCTTTACATTTGAAATTAACTTTCTATTTCTCACTGTTCTCACTTTTGTAAATAGTCTTGACATTGAGGCGGGTTTCCTAACTGTGCACAGCAAAACAACAACAATAAAGCAAAAAAAAACAAAACAAACAAACAAAAAAACACTGTTATAATTAACAAAGTTTCAGATTATATGCCCTAATACTCACTCAGACTTCCAGGTACTTTGAAAATCACTTCTTCTGTAATGGAGAAGTGCCTTCTCATACAGATGAGTGAGGGCTTCTGCACTAGGGTACGTTTTAATGATTTTACGGATGAGCACGTTTCCAGCATTTCCTGTAAATACCAATATCATATGTCGTATTAGGAAAAAAGCTGAATGTCTTTAAAAATACTACAGGAAAAATGCATTTCTCATAAAAACGTTAATGCTAAATGTGATATAAATAGAAAAATGCCGTTGCATGAATGATAAGGGATGGAGTGAAAGTATACAAGGCAGGGAAGAGTGAAAGAAGGGTGGATTAACAGGGACATTTGTAGAAGCATATAGTTTTACATTTTTAATTGAAAAAGGGTAGATTTGCCTGACTTTCTTATAATTTAATTAAGAATTTAGTTAAATTCTTTCCATCTTTTATTCATATCACGTAAGCATGTTTTAAAAATCTCCTATAAGATTGGGACATTTATTATCGTATTTAACTTAGAGCATGGTCTAAATTTTTTACACAATATAAATTGAAGCAAAATAAATGCATAATTTAATACAATTCAATCTTATTAAATTATTTCTATTTGCTTGTGTTTAGATCTTTTTTACCTGGGTAACTTTCATGACGTGCTTGCGCTGTGCTTGCTTGTGACTTGTCTCTGGTGTCTCCATAAGTGGGATACCAATGGACAAAAGGGCCAGGAAAACATATGTTGCATTTATTTGGAGGCTGCTTGGGCGATTCATTGTGTGTAGAGTGAGCTGATTGTGCTGTGGTGTGTGTAAATTGGTCAGTTTCTCTTCTGCTGTGTTTGTGGTGTAATTTATGTGGCTAGAGGCTGTAGAGATTGAGAAAGTGTGTGTGTGTATAGGTATGTGTGTATAGGTAATGCAGTGTGTGTAAGGGCTGTAGAAAGTGTGTATTTAGATAATGTAGTGTGTGTTTGAATACAGTTGATCTAGTGTGTGCATAGGGGATCCAGAGTGTGTATAGGTGATGTGTGTATGTCAGGAATGTAGTGTGTGTAGGTGTTGCAGTCTGTGTCTATAGGGGATGTGTGTGGGTAATCCAGAGTGTGTATATGTGATTTAGTGTGTGCTTTGGTGGTGCAGTGTAGGTCTAAAGGGGATCTAGCTTGTCTAATTGATCCAGAGTCTGTATAGGAGATCTAGTGTGTGTGTAGATTGTGCAGTGTGTGTCTAAATGGGATCTAGTGTGCATAGAGGATCCAGTGTTTGTGTGTGTGTGTGTGTGTGTGTGTCTGTAATGTAGTGAGTGTAGGTTGTGCAGTGTATGTCTAAACAGGATCTGGTGGGTTGTGGATCCAGAGTGTGTACCAGCCCGTAAAGGCTCACAACAATGCCAGTACTTGGATAGTGCTGGCTCTGCATTGGCTGGCAAGGAAGATGTTGTGAACTCCCCTGTTGGCCTTGCTCTATGACCATCGCGTCCCACCAAGCATTTGTCATGTTTGCCAATAGCCAGTCCGGGCCTGGTCACAAGTTATGGATCTTACAAATGGTTTTCTACAAATCTCAGTGAGATAGGGATTGTAAGACTTTCCAGGAGACTTTGCTGCTTAAAAAATATGTTTTTTGTAGTAGAGCAAGTCAAGTAAAACTATGTAAAACAAAACCAATCTGTAAAACATCTTACTGATGAGGCCTAAAGGAGGCAGGGCCAATCATCCAGGGTTACTGCATCTCTTGTGCAGAAGGAACTTGCTGGCATTTCGAATCTGAAATGCCCTTATGGGTGGGGTCAGTCTGATGTGCAAATGGTATAGGATCTCTCTGTAGTGGAACAAGTGAGCAAACATGTTTTTTTAAGCCCTGAGCAGGAACTAACGAAAGTGGAAGTTATTTATTTTCTGATTTTTTGCACATAGAGTTCTCTTACTTTCTGTGAAAGAAAAAAGTGAACTTAGTGGATCGTACTACCACCAAAATATCACTCAGTGGAGCGCTAAATATCAAATTCTTACCCCTATTGGAATAACGTATATATCACTTTAAGGGGCAGACAGCATAATAAAATCTACAACAAGAAAATACACATCATAGTGCAGTATGCTTGTAAGGTGTGAATGGAGTGGAAGAAGATGTATGTCCAACTCACATGGTAAAGAGCCTGGAGATTGGCTCAAATCACAACAGCTGAGGTATGTTTGGTAATACCAGACCTTCTCCAGATATACAGCTCACAACATATGTGGATAAAAAAGGACAAAAATCCTAGTGCAAGTATGTTAAAATAAACAAGTGGTCACATATAACAGTGCATGAATGTGCTCACCTGGAATAGAGCCAATTGTACTAGGCTCTATGTATAAGCGTGTGGTGCCTTTAAGGGAGGCACTACCCTTCTTTAGAAAATGCAGGAAGCAGTTGAAGATCCACTACCAGATGTATAAGGTAAAAGTAACAATTTATTAAAAAAAAAAAAAAAACAATTAAGCAAAGTAAAACTGTATATACAGATACCAAAAAGTAAAAGTCTCTGGGGTGGTCTTCCTTGGAGTTCCGAGACGCGTTTTCGCCGTGGGGCTTTCTCAATCGGATGAATCTGCTTCCTGAATGGGCGATGTTTAAATGTTGGCGCCGTCCGTCTGATTGGACGTGCTGATTGCCGGGTAGCCAATCGTAATGCATGGAATGTGGAGGTGTATCTCACAGCTGACGGTCGTGAGTCCGGGAGCTCAAAACCCGGAAGTACCATGAAGTGTAGCCAATCTCACGTGGTTAACTGACGTTGTCATTTGGAGCATGTTCAGTGGTTACTAAGCTGTCCGAGGAGCCATCTTGGTTATGGGCAATAGCTCCATAGTTAGATCCGTTTTTTAAAAGTCCAATATTGCATAAAGAGTCCCATATTAATAGTAATATATAAAATAAAAAGCAAAAAGAACATGGTTATACATAGCAGAATAATAATATTAAGCATATATACATAAAGGGACTATTGACTCTCATTATATGCTTGCAATCAAAAGGGAAATGTGCTAAAAAAAAAAAAAGGCAATCAGATGATTGAAAAAAAGGTGGCACAACACATGTCAGTGAATGAAGTGGATAAGCAGTGCCAACTGATCTAAAAACATACATAAAAGATCCAATTAAAATTTAAGTCTTATCTTAAAAAGTGGCAAAGCTCAAAATCATTATTTAAACCATATGGTTGTAAACTGTTTAAATTAAAGATCCACTTCATTTCCATTTGTCCCATCTTTTTAATGGTATCATCACCTCTCCAATTAAGGTGAACTCTCTGGATTCCCAAAAAAGTCATCTGATTTGGATCACTATTGTGTTTGATTTTAAAATGTAGTGATAGACTATGTTTGGTATATCCATTTCTGACATTGCGTACATGTTCTTGTATCCTGACTTGCAAGGGGCGAGTAGTGCGTCCTATATAGACAAGATTGCAGGTGCATTTAATCATATAAATTACATGTTTGGTGTGACATGTAATGATTTCTTTAATTATAAACTTTTGATCTTTATCATGAGGGTGTTGGAAATTTTTTATATGGCGTTTAGAACTTTTTGTGTTTTTACAAGCACCACAAATTCCACATCCATAAAAACCACTACTTTCATTGAATGGATTTCCTTTAATGTTTTTCTTCAATGAAGAATGGTTTTGAGTCAAATTACATTTTAAATTGGGGACACCCCTATAGACGAGTTTTGGTCTGTCTGGAAGAATTTGTTTTAGAACCTCATCGCTTTTTAAAATGGACCAATGTTTATTTAAAATTTTCTTGAGTTGATTACTTTGACAATTAAAATCACTTATAAATGGCACATTATCCCAATTCATATTTGATGGTTTATTTTTGTACTGGATCAATGATTCTCTATCCTGCAGATTGACTTCATGGAGGGCCTTTTTAAGAAGTGAATTGTCATAGCCCTTATCGCTAAAGTCACCAATAATTCTTTGTGCTTGTTCGCAGAACTTTTCATTATCTGTACAGTTCCTCTTAATCCTCATGAGTTGAGATTTTGGGGCATTTAGAAACCATGGAGAATAATGACAGCTATTTACATCAATTTTCTTAAAAAATGTGCTCGTTTTAATTACATTATTTTCTATATATATATTGAGGTCTAAAAAGCTAACGTTTTAAAGAAAACGTTAGCTTTTTAGACCTCAATATATATATAGAAAATAATGTAATTAAAACGAGCACATTTTTTAAGAAAATTGATGTAAATAGCTATATCCAAGGAAATAGCTGTCATTATTCTCCATGGCTTCTAAATGCCCCAAAATCTCAACTCATGAGGATTAAGAGGAACTTGTCAGGGTATTTATATCGGCAGACATTTTGTGCTATGATAGAAACTAAAAGTGTATATTCTGAGTCACTCTGAACAGACCAGACTCCATTTTGTTATTTCAAGTTAACAAAGAGACACAGTATTTCTATCTGTAAGCTAACCACTTTCCCAGAGCTGAGGAATGCATAGTATATACAAGCCAAGTGATAAGGAAGGGGGTTGGACAGACTGTCTAATGCTAATGGAATATAATCAAATCTAAACCCAGACAATTGTGACAGAGAAGATTAAATAATAAAATTTAACTGTCTATATATATATATATATATATATATATATATAAGGCACCATTGTATGGAAAAGGGTAAACTTAGTTCATGATCTGCCATATCAGAAAAAAACTCAGATTTGCAGACACATAGTCTGGACAAAATTTAAGAACCCCTTTGATCTTTGAAGGATACGTAAGTTATAGCCACTATCTAGATAGGCCAAAATGACGTCAAAATAGCCACCAGGAAAAGTTAACTCTTTCCTGGATAGGTATGTTTAGTGGGACAAGACTGCCCTCTACAGACCAAATACCTAATTTGCGATCTGGAAGATAACCACACCTCTAGTGCTTCTATTGGGTTATCAACCGATGACGTACAGAGAGTCTGGCCCTTTAAAAGTTAAGACAAAGGGAAGATAGCATAGACGAGACGAGAGGAGGCAGATGCAAGATATGCAAAGGAGAGGAGAGAGGAATTGGAAGTTTGGGGATTCCAACTCGGACAACATCTGAGACTAACACTCTACTCCTAAAACTCTAACACTTAGAATTTACTGACTTTCTAACCAACACCTCCATGCAGAGAGACTACCAATCGGATGAAATATCTACTCAACTGGTAATTATACTGGTTTCATTTAATTAATTAAATTAATTAAATTATATTAATAGCATTATATATGACTGGATAAAGCACGGTCAGATTTCCATATTAAGAAATCTTAGTTAACTAAGAATATATAGTTATAAACATTCCATTCTGCAGGTGGAATTAAGAATAATTATATATTGATGTGATATTATCACGTGTTAGCATACCGCTGTTTTTATCCAGGTGTATTGATTTGCTCTAAATTAAGATAGATATCTTTTAGACAAATTAAAAATCTGCTTATATAATGTGGTAAATTCTCTTATTGGATGATTTTAAGAAAATGACTAATGAACTGGGTTAAATTTTATTTTATTTAAAATTACATAAGAATAGATCTTAACTACCTAGGAGATCTAGCCAGCATTGAAAGGGTTATTCTAACTGTCTGCTAAACTTTACGACCTTACGCTGCACTCTGAGGAATTCTGTTCTTCTGTGAAAAGTTTCACTTTCAGCCTGTGTTAAAGATAGTCATAAATAATTCTTGACAGGAAATGCTATTTAGCCATTGTAACGTAATACCCATTTCTTTGTATTGCATATAATTTTATACTGAATATTCATTGATTATTGTCATGCATGTTACATAATATTATTTGTTAATTATTGGTTATCATAAATAAAATCTATTTTTATACATTGTGATTATTTATATGAAATACTTTCCACTTAACACGATAAACGTTCTTTGGGATCTGAGAATTGAATTAGTGGGCAATTCTCACTGTTACTATTATTATCCCATAAATATCCCCACAAACTGTACAGATAATGAAAAGTTCTGCGAACAAGCACAAAGAATTATTGGTGACTTTAGCGATAAGGGCTATGACAATTCACTTCTTAAAAAGGCCCTCCATGAAGTCAATCTGCAGGATAGAGAATCATTGATCCAGTACAAAAATAAACCATCAAATATGAATTGGGATAATGTGCCATTTATAAGTGATTTTAATTGTCAAAGTAATCAACTCAAGAAAATTTTAAATAAACATTGGTCCATTTTAAAAAGTGATGAGGTTCTAAAACAAATTCTTCCAGACAGACCAAAACTCGTCTATAGGGGTGTCCCCAATTTAAAATGTAATTTGACTCAAAACCATTCTTCATTGAAGAAAAACATTAAAGGAAATCCATTCAATGAAAGTAGTGGTTTTTATGGATGTGGAATTTGTGGTGCTTGTAAAAACACAAAAAGTTCTAAACGCCATATAAAAAATTTCCAACACCCTCATGATAAAGATCAAAAGTTTATAATTAAAGAAATCATTACATGTCACACCAAACATGTAATTTATATGATTAAATGCACCTGCAATCTTGTCTATATAGGACGCACTACTCGCCCCTTGCAAGTCAGGATACAAGAACATGTACGCAATGTCAGAAATGGATATACCAAACATAGTCTATCACTACATTTTAAAATCAAACACAATAGTGATCCAAATCAGATGACTTTTTTGGGAATCCAGAGAGTTCACCTTAATTGGAGAGGTGATGATACCATTAAAAAGATGGGACAAATGGAAATGAAGTGGATCTTTAATTTAAACAGTTTACAACCATATGGTTTAAATAATGATTTTGAGCTTTGCCACTTTTTAAGATAAGACTTAAATTTTAATTGGATCTTTTATGTATGTTTTTAGATCAGTTGGCACTGCTTATCCACTTCATTCACTGACATGTGTTGTGCCACCTTTTTTTCAATCATCTGATTGCCTTTTTTTTTTTTCTGTTTTTAGCACATTTCCCTTTTGATTGCAAGCATATAATGAGAGTCAATAGTCCCTTTATGTATATATGCTTAATATTATTATTCTGCTATGTATAACCATGTTCTTTTTGCTTTTTATTTTATATATTACTATTAATATGGGACTCTTTATGCAATATTGGACTTTTAAAAAACGGATCTAACTATGGAGCTATTGCCCATAACCAAGATGGCTCCTCGGACAGCTTAGTAACCACTGAACATGCTCCAAATGACAACGTCAGTTAACCACGTGAGATTGGCTACACTTCATGGTACTTCCGGGTTTTGAGCTCCCGGACTCACGACCGTCAGCTGTGAGACACACCTCCACATTCCATGCATTACGATTGGCTACCCGGCAATCAGCACGTCCAATCAGACGGACGGCGCCAACATTTAAACATCGCCCATTCAGGAAGCAGATTCATCCGATTGAGAAAGCCCCACGGCGAAAACGCGTCTCGGAACTCCAAGGAAGACCACCCCAGAGACTTTTACTTTTTGGTATCTGTATATACAGTTTTACTTTGCTTAATTGTTTTTTTTTTTTAATAAATTGTTACTTTTACCTTATACATCTGGTAGTGGATCTTCAACTGCTTCCTGCATTTTCTAAAGAAGGGTAGTGCCTCCCTTAAAGGCACCACACGCTTATACATAGAGCCTAGTACAATTGGCTCTATTCCAGGTGAGCACATTCATGCACTGTTATATGTGACCACTTGTTTATTTTAAACATACTTGCACTAGGATTTTTGTCCTTTTTTATCCACATATGTTGTGAGCTGTATATCTGGAGAAGGTCTGGTATTACCAAACATACCTCAGCTGTTGTGATTTGAGCCAATCTCCAGGCTCTTTACCATGTGAGTTGGACATACATCTTCTTCCACTCCATTCACACCTTACAAGCATACTGCACTATGATGTGTATTTTCTTGTTGTAGATTTTATTATGCTGTCTGCCCCTTAAAGTGATATATACGTTATTCCAATAGGGGTAAGAATTTGATATTTAGCGCTCCACTGAGTGATCTTTTGGTGGTAGTACGATCCACTAAGTTCACTTTTTTCTTTCACATTGTGTTTGTGTAGGATTGGGATACCTGCATGCGTGTTTGAGCTGCTGTTCTATTTATATATTATTGTTAAGCGCCTAATTGCACAGAGCACCTTTTTCTTCTCTTACTTTCTGTTTTTGCTTCACTTTATAAAGCATACAAAAGTTAATTTGCAGTTGAATTAAATCTGACCTATTTTACTCTAAACACTATTTTTCTATTTGATTCTGTGGTGGAAAAGTGATTTAGATGAGTTTTATGTAAAAAGAGAGATAATATAACTAAAAATAATATAACTAAAAAATGCAAGCCCTATGGAAATTTTGGGAAGGTATATGGATGATGCTTGTGGGGACCATAGGCGTGCGCACGGGGTGTGCCGGGTGTGCCTGGGCTCAGGATCTCCCCTGTCGGCTCATGCAGCACCTTCACACATACAGCACACACAGCACACACACATACAGCCATAGGCGTGCGCAGCCTATTGCATTAGGGTGTGCACCCTAAAACACAAACACACACCGCATGTATATATGTGTGTGTGTGTATATATATATATATATATATATATATACACATACACACACACACACACACACAGCTGTGTGTGCTGTTAGTGTGCTGTGTGAGGGTGCTGTGTGTGCTGTTTGTGTGATGTGTGTGAGGGTGCTGTTAGTGTGATGTGAGGGTGTTTGTGTGTGTGTGTTTGTGACAGTGCTGTTTGTGTGTGAGGGTGTTTGTGTGTGTGTGTTTGTCCTGTGAGGGTGCTGTGTGTGTGAGGGTGCTGTTTGTGTGAGTGTCGTGTATTTGTGTGGGTGCTGTTTGTGTGTGTGTGTTTGTGAGGGTGCTGTTAGTGTGCTGTGTGTGAGAGTGTTTTTTTTTTTTTTTAAAGGTGCTTTTAAAGGTGCTGTGTGTGTTTGTGAGGGTGCAGTTAGTGTACTGTGTGTGTGAGCATGCTGTGTGTAAGCTGTATGTGTGTAGGTGCTGTATGTGTGTGTGCTGTATGTTTGGAGGGACTGTGGAGGTGGGGGCAGATTAGTAAATATCCCCCCTGCCATCTGACCTTTTGTAGGGAGGGGGATCCTTGCTGCCATGTGCCATCCCTGGTGGTCCAGTGGAGAGTGAACTCTAGCCTGTGGGGCTAGAGTTAACTCTCACGAGATCTTAGCGTTGCCGTGGCAACGCTCAGATATCGCGAGAGGAACCTGGCGGAGCTGCTGGCTAGAGCTCCCTGGGTCCTCTCCTGCCTCCCTCCATGCTGCTGTAGGCCGGTGAGGTAGATCTTTGGTCTCCCCGCCGGCCCATGGAGGCATAGAGCAGAGCCGGCACTCAGCTCTCAGATCCCTGTGGAATAATGTGTTGGAACTCTCCCAAGATTCCCACCCCCCCCAAAAAAAATAATATACACGTGTGTGTGTGTGTGTGTGTGTGTGTGTGTGTGTGTGTGTGTGTGTATATATATATATATGCGTACACACACACACTCACAGACACATTCAGACACAGACACACTCATACATTCACAGACACACATACACACACACACATTCACTGACACACACATTCACTGACACACACACACATTCACCGACACATACAGACACACACACACACACACACAGATACAGACACACGCATAAAAATTATTATGTTTTAATAAAAAAAATGTCCACCCAGCCTCCCTACCTGGAGTGCTGGCGTGGACTTGTCCCTGGGGTCCAGTGGGGCGGGCGCCTGTCTCCTGTCTCCATCTCATCCGCGGCGAGGGAGCTGAGTGCTCTCTGCTTCCTCTCGCCGCGCGGGCTGTCTACAGTACCTGGGAGCCGGAATATGACATCATATTCCGGCTCCCGGCATCAGCAAACGGCCTGCGGCAAGAGGAAGCAGAGAGCACACAGCTCCCTCGCTGCGGCTGAGATGGAGAGAGGAGGGGGGATCCATCACCTATTGCCGCCCCCCGTGACAGGGGCAACACGGGGGGAGGCTTTTGGGGGCGCTGAGTGCCTGCAGGAACAGCCTTCCTGCTCAAAAAAAATGCAGGAACGCTGTTCCTGCAGGACTCAATCCAGAGGCGTGCCGCGGGGATTAGGGTGTGCCCATGCGTACAGCACCTTCACACATACAGCACCCACACACACAGCACACACATACAGAACCCACACACACACAGCACACACACATACAACACCCTCACACACATACAGCACGCTCACACACACACACATACAGCACACACATACAGCACACACATACAGCACACACATACAGCACCCACATACAGCACCCACACAGCACACACACAGCACACACACAGCACACACATACAGCACACACACACCACACACATACAGCACACACATACAGCACACACCGCAAGTACACACATACAGCACCCACACACACAGCACACACACAGCACCCACACCCACACATACATACATACAGCACCTTCACACATACAGCACCCACACACACACAGCACACACATGCAGCACCTACACACATACAGCACCCACACACACACACAGCACACACATGCAGCACCTACACACATACAGCACCCACACACACAGCACACTCATACAGCACACACACACACATACAGTACCTTCACACACATACAGCACACACATACAGCACCCACACACACCACACACATACAGCACACACACACACACACACACACAGCAAGTACACACATACAGCACCCACACACACAGCACACACAGCACCCACACAAACACACACACAGCACACTAACAGGACCATAACAAACACACACACAAACACCCCTCACACACACACACACAGCACACATACAGCACCTTCACACATACAGCACCCACACACGCAGCACCCACACACACACACACACAGCACCCCACACATACAGCACCCCACACATACAGCACCCCACACACATACAGCACCCCACATACAGCACCCTCACATACAGCACCTCAAACACAGCACAGAAACAAAGCACCCCACAAACACACACACACAGCACACTAACAGGACCATAACAAACACACACACAAACACCTCACACACACACACAGCACACATACAGCACACATACAGCACCTTCACACATACAGCACCCACACACGCAGCACCCACACACACACACACAGCACCCTCACACATACAGCACCCTCACACATACAGCACCCTCACACATACAGCACCCTCACACATACAGCACCCTCACACATACAGCACCCTCTCAAACACAGCACAGAAACAGCACCCTCACACAGCACACTAACAGGACCATAACAAACACACACACAAACACCCTCACACACACACACAGCACACAAACAGCACCCTCACACACACACACATCACCCTCAAACCACCCTCATGCAGCACACACACACAGCGAGCACACAGCTCCCTCGCCGCGGCTGAGATGGAGAGAGGAAGGGGGATGCATCACCTCTTGCCCCCCTCATGACAGGGGCAACACGGGGGGAGGAAGGAGGGCTTTTGGGGGCGCTGAGTGCCTGCAGGAACAGCGTTCCTACTAAAAAAAAAAAAAAAGTGCAGGAACGCTGTTCCTGCAGGACTCAATCCATAGGCGTGCCGCGGGGATTAGGGTGTGCCCAGGCACATCCGGCACACCCCGTGCGAACGCCTATGCGTACAGCACCTTCACACATACAGCACCCACACACACAGCACACACACACACACACACACCACACACATACAGCACACACATATAGCACACACATACAGTTCCTTCACACATACAGCACCAACACACACACACAGCACACACATACAGCAACACAGCACACACACACATACAGCACCCTCACACACACACACACACATACAGCACACGTACACACACAGCACACACATACAGCACCTTCACACATACAGCATCCACACACACACACAGCACCCTCACACACACACAGCACCCTCACACACACACACACAGCACCCCATACACATACAGCACACACACACACACACAGCACCCCATACACATACAGCACACACACACACACACAGCACACATACAGCACACACATACAGCACACACACACAGCACCCACACACACAGCACCCACACATACATACAGCACACACACACAGCACACACACACACATACATACAGCACCTTCACACATACAGCACCCACACACACACAGCACACACATGCAGCACCCTCACACACATACAGCACATACAGCACCCACACACACATACAGCACCTGCACACATACAGCACACACACACAGCACCCTCACACATACATACAGCACCTTCACACATACAGCACACACAGCACCCTCACACACATACAGCACCCACACACAAAAGTGTATGTGTGTGTGTGTGTGTGTGTATATATATATGGCGTGTGTGTTTGTGCTTTAGGGTGCACACCCTAATGCAATAGGCTGCGCACGCCTATGGTGGGGACAATGTTGTTTAGGAGGTAAATATGACTTTGAGGGGGTTGTATGGATATAGGAAGACTGGGGGAATATAGATGGATGTGGACTATAACAAGGGTAGATAACAAACAAACGACATTGTGGGAACTTGGGACATATAGGAGCATGGAGAGACACTTTATAGTAAAAGCGTTATTATTCTGACTCTGGACCCTGAAGACCTGATACATGCATTGCGTGACAGTGGTTTTTGAAGGAACTGACAAAGAAAGGTCATAGAGAGAGGGGGTGTCCTTAGTTATAATAGCGTGTCAAAAACATGGATCTAAAAGACTGGTGAAGATACCTATAAGTGCAGGGCTGGCTGTACTAAACTATCTGGAACACTAAAGTATATGCATTCAGGAACAGATAAAACAAGATTTTTTTTTTTTTATTCTTTCTTACTTAGCACAAATTACTCTGTTTGCAATTAAGATAGATAGATAGATATAGAGATATATATATATATATATATATATATATATATATATATATATATATATATATGAAACCTAGGGACTTTCCTATAGCTGTTCACTTAAAAATAAACTGTATTAAGAAAACCACAATAAACCAAGTTGCAGTGGGGGCTTTACATATCGAAAAGCATTGGTCATAAATATTAGAAGGAATGACTGAACCTGTTGCCACAAAGAAACTCAGCTGAACGACTTGCTGTTGGGAAAATCTTTAATGTAAAAGAAGTGCTCAGCCATATTTCTTAAAACCAATGTTGTTACCCATAGCTTTATTTCAATGCCTATTGCTGTAGGCACAGTTCTGTTACATATGACATTGGATTTCTACTCTGTATTTGATTTTGGAAAAATTGTATGGCAAATTCATGTTTTCAATTGACTTAATTTTATGATTGTTGTCTAAATGACAACTGTAGGGTAAAAGTTGCACAACAGTCATATGGGAAACATTGGAGGCTTTAGATCAAGTAGTAGCTCAGGAATGGTTTATTTAGAGCCTTTTTTTCCAACCCAGTCAGAACAGAACAGAATTTAGACATTCTCCAGTTCTGTTCCCAAGGGAATACTGACAAATCAGAACCATTGCTATGCCTTGGGGACAGGATTAGGAAACAGGGGCTTAGAGAGCTCCGTATTGGCTAGTCTTGCTACAGAATAACTGATCACAAGCCATATTTCTTAAAATCACTGTTAGCGCCCGAGGTTGAGGGAGTGTAATTAAAATATTAGTTTGTAGTCTGTTAGACCACCTAGCATAAGAAATTATATTTGATGCTACTATGCTGTAGTTGGGTTGTACTGCTAGCTAAAAACGGCTCTAACTCTTGACAAGTATCCTTCTCTAGCTTACCAGAGTAACCCATCAGGTCAAACATCTTTCAGATTCTTGACACTCTTTGTGGTTTTAGATAATACAGCATTAATTCTAGAAACCTTTGTTGTTTGGATGTGTCAAGTTTCATTATTGTTCCAGACACGCAATCTTATGTTCAGGCATCATGTGTATTACAAAATCTGAAGCTAACACACTAGCAGCATTGGATTACCAGAAAACCAACAGATCATAACTAGTTAAAATAACCTCTGCTTAGTCAACTAGAAGAGGGAAGTAGAAGCATGGCTGATTTTCATATTGATTTATTGTACTATAGTTGGAGTCACAGGACTGACACAATGTTTTTTGTATTTCCTTGATGGGAAATTACACTCAACAAAAAAGTTTTGCATAAGGAGATACAATTCTATATAATAAACATGACTGTCTTAATGATTTTTTTTTAAAGTTTAGGATCTTCTTGCAACTACACTCCTCTCAACATAATGATCATTGAAGTGATGAAAAACAATGTGTAACAAGGGGGAATGTACTACTTCAAAAGTATAAATCACTGTCAGCTTCACATTACCTATAGAGGCCCTGAAAGATTTAAAGGTATACACAGATATGCTAACTGATAAACAAAACCTAAATTGTATAACTATAAAAAAGGCAAGTAAAAATAAATCTATAAAACCCGTGTGAAAGTACTCAGCATGGCGGTGGGCATTGGTGTGATGGTTAAAAAGTATGGACTTGGTAAGGGAAAGTAATTTTTTTTTTTATTCTTTATTTTTATTGTGCAAGATTAACAAGCAACCTTGGTGCGCCACAACAGCGACATCAGAGTGAATTGGCAGACATTTGCATTACAATTTGTGGCATTCCTTAGTCAGGCACATTTTTAATTTAATGAGCTGGAATTTTAAACAAAGATTAGCAATAAAGGAAAAATATACAGATAGGCTAACTATAGGTCACCTCAGCATGAGCAAGGATCACGAGACATGTTTAAAGCAATAAATGACACATGAGGAACATTCACTTAGGATATGTTTAAACAAACAGGCTTCAATATCCTAGTTATATTCTAGAGTGATTACAAGATAGCTGTTAGGTGAGGGAAAGCTCCCATGTATTAGGTTTCTTAGGCTTTAGTTATATAGATACTTGTGTATAGACTTAATGAGCTATTATGGGAGTGAGACAGGGTTTAAAGGCCCAGTGAGGTTTGTGAGCGCAGGCTGTGGATTAACATCTAAAAGATACTGGGGTTCAAATAAAGGCGGCTAGCTTTAAGTAGCTCATTGGGGATTATCTGTGGGCTTTTTGGACTGAACCTGCTTCTGTGCATTGCGGAGCATGAGTAATCCTTATGGCAGTCCGTCTTGGTCATCCCACTCCAACTCTGGAGGCTTGGTACAGGAGGCTGCCATTGCCACTATGTTGTCGTCCCTCCGACCGTCCATGAGTGGGATCTGGAACGGAGCAGGATGTTGTTTGCTTCTGGTCTCGGGTGTCGCCAGGTGGGGCGAGTGTGCACGTGGGGTCCTGCTTCTCTTCTGTGCAGTGTGTCCCCGGTGGTGTCTCATGCAGTGTTTCTGCCTCTTATGCAGCATGGTCCGCTGCCATGGTGTTTCCTGTCCTGCAGGTGAGGCCTTCGGAGCGATCTTCCAAGGTGGAGGCAGCTTCTTTGTCAGGTAGCTGTCTGGCTGGTGGGAGGTAAGTGGCTGCGTTCTGCCCTCTATCTTACGCCAGAAATTGGCGAGTAGTGCATCCAGCTTTTGTGAGGTTTCATAGTCTGTGTCCGCAGGGTTGGGGAGGCACGTGGCAGTCGCCATGATGGGTGTCACGTTGGATAAACTGTAGGTTGAGGTGGCTGCACCCTGCGCTCTCCCCTTTCCGGAATTGCCTCTCTGTATTGGACCGCAGTCACCCCCGACGGTCAGGGGGTAAGGGGGGGAGTAACGAGACTCCTGCTTGTTGGGCATTGTCACCGTGTGGCACCGGACTGGGAGATCGGCCGCCTCCCCCTGTCGGCGCGCGCCAGGCCCCATGTTGCGTTCGGTGCTTTTAACAGGCTTCAAGTGGGTCACAGGCCGCCACATCGGTTCCCAGCCCCATCGTGGGTTAGGTGAGTCAAATTTGTCCTCCATTTGTCGGCTTTGTGTGACTGGATGTGCTATTAGACTCCCTTTTTGCTGAGGAGCTCTGCTATGGCAAGTCTGTCCTCCATGCTGTTCAGGCCCTGCCCCTGGGAAAGTAAGTTTTGATAGTAAGCGCTTGACCAACACCAAGCTGTGTACTAGATATGGGAATAGGTGGGACTCAAGTACAAACTCTACTCCCACTCATCTGGGGTTTGTGGATATCATTTAACATTATGTAGCAATGGAAGAGTAAACCAGTAGATGGGTAATTCCATGCTTTTTCACTTGGAACTTTAAACCATCTCAGCCTGTGGTTAGAGGAAATTATTAGTATTGTTGATGTTGTTGTTTTTATTATAGCTTACATTTATATAGCTCCAACATAGGCCTCCAAATAGTTTAATACTCTTAAACTTTACAAATGATTTATCTGCAGTAGTTGCCATTAAAAATTATCGGAATTTTTATAGATAACTCGTTTGGTCATATTCAGCAGTGCTTTACAATTTCAATGAAGGGATGTAATGAAAAACAAATAAGAGGACACTGAGAGATCCCAAATCATGTGTATTGCTGAATACGGGCCTGGTCGGACGTCACGGCCCTTTAAAAGGGCAACAGAGCACCTGTAATATCGTCAATGCTGGGAGAAAGGGAGAGCTTTTTACTTCCTCCCAGCTACAGGAGGAACCCACGTGGGAGGCTGAGAGGAGGCACAGACAGCAGGGCGGGGGAGAACATGGAGAGAGAAAGAGAGTCTGCTCCAGCTGCACACTCCCATCAGCCAGCAGCAGGACCAAAGACAAGCCATTTTAGCTAAAAATATAAAAATTAAGACATTTATGTGTGTATACATGTGTCAGTGTGTATATCTGTGTGTCAGGGTGTGTGAATGAGTTAGTGTGTGCATGTCAGTGTGTATCTGTGTGTGTTTATGTGTCGGTGTATTTATATGTGTGTATGTAGTGTGGCCAAGCGGGAACCGGGATAAAGGAGCTTGTTTACCTCTACCAGGCCTGTCTGACACAAAGGAAGTGCAGAGAGCGCCAAATTCTGCTTCTTGTCAGTCCCAGTATAGGGAAACAAGCTCCTCTACCGCAGTCCCCGCTCAGCCAAGCTACAACATGGATGTGAGCTGGCACAGAGGAAAGAGGGGCAGTGGTTAAGTAGTCTCATGGATGGAGTTGGGGGATTAAGAAGATACATGGATGGGGCTGGGCGCTAAGGAGACACATGAGTGGGACTGGGGGGGTCAAGGAGCCCCATAGAGGGTCTAGGGAGGTCAAGGAGACATGTGGAGGGGTGGGGGGGGGGCTTAAGCAGATGCATGGATGGGCCTGGGGGCTTAAAGAGACACATGAAAGGTCTGGGGGGTCAATGAGACACATGGAGGAGGTGGGGTGTTAGGGAGAAACATGGATGGGGCTGAGGGTAAAGGAATCACATGGAGGGGTGATGGACTTAAAGAGACACATGGAGAGGCCAGCGGATTAAGGAAACACATGGAGGGGCTGGTGGGATTAATGAGACACGTGGAGGGGCTGGGAGGTTAATTAGACACAAGGAGAGCCACACAGACATCTAGGGGAGAGAGGCACACAGGGTGCTGGAGGGAGAGAGGCACACAAAGGGCTAGTAAACCAAAGGGCTAGGGGGATGCACACAGAGGGCTAATGGGAGGAGAGGCACACAAGGAGCTGAGAAGGGGAAGAGGTGCACAAAGGGTTGGGGGGCAAAAGGACACACATAGGGCTAGAGAGAGAAAGAGACACACAGGTGCTGGGGGAAGAGACACCCAGAGTGGCTGGGAAAGGGGAAAAAAATAAAAACAAAGTGGTTGGGGGACAAAGAGACACATGAAGGGGCTCTGGGAGGACAAAGAGACAGAGAGGGGCTAAGGAGGACAAAGAGACACAGATGGACTAGGAGAACAAAGAGACACACACAGAGTCACTTGGGGGGACAAAGAAACACACACAGAGGGGCTGGGGAATGACAAATAGACCCACAGAGGAGTTGGGAAGAGAAAGACAAAGAGAGCTGGGGAAGAGACACAGAAGTGTTGAGGAAGGGAAAAAAGAGACACACAAACGAGTTAGGGTAGAAAGAGACACACAAAAGTGCTGGGAGAAGAAAGAGACACACAAAGTTGGCAAATTTCATTTTTTGAAGGAGGGGAGTGCAAATATTTGGCGTTGCCTATGGCGAAAAATTGTCTTGCACGGGCCCTGCATAAAAACACACCCCTGCATTCAAACACCATAATTATATGCAACCACACCTCTTCATTCAAACACCAGCACTATACACAAAAGCACACCTGGATTTAAAAGCCAACTCTACATACAAATACACCCCAGCATTCAAATGCAAACACCACACATAAGTACATCACTGCATTCCAATGACAACAGTACATACAAATACAGCTCTACATGCACACACATGCTCTGTACATAAACATGCTTACATTCAAATGCACGCACACTGCTCACTAATACAACCCTGCCAGGATGGTAAGATCCCCAGCTCGCATATCATTGTGGGAGTTGGAAAACAGATGAGGACCCTTGCACTAGAGGGAGAACCCCTATTTGATAATTCCTTTAAGCACTCCACATCCAACTCAATGAAGTTCACTGTATCCCTGCTGTTGTGACTTTGTGTAGACCGACACATTTTTTATTCTCTCTCTCAAATGTAGCATGAAGTAATTCCGGAGTATCTAATGGTCTTGGTAATTATTAGATGGCTCTCAAGACCCAATGTATTGGGATTTTTTTTTTTTTAACTTAATGCTTTTTTCTGATATCTGCAAAATGATAATTTTTTTAAATTTCAATTTACAGCAGAAAAGCAAGAAAGCTAAAACCCCAGAACTTCTCTTTTTTTTGTACTAAATTTAGTATGTGTCTCTGAATTTTCTCTAGCCAGAATCTGAATTAGAATTTCAGGATAAATTTAGAATTTATTCTCAAATTGATTCATCTGAAAATACAAATAACCATAAACAACCTTGAAAGTCCATTATTGCATACTATTTAACACTTCTGTATTGATTAAAATCTATCATGTGTTATTTTCTGTCATGTGTGGGGGAGGGTGATTTTTTTTATTTTAATCACTTGCTGCCTATATACCACATTGGATGAAGTTAGTCTCACTTCTCTGTGTATGTTCTTCAGTCACTACTACGCTTCCCTAAATCTAACCTTGCCAGCCACATGGTATGTTAAATGGAATTGTTTCAAAAGACCACCACCAGAGATCAAGGTTTAATCAAACTTTCTCATACGAAAATACACCCACTGTCATCTATTCATTTTCCAGTACAATTAATCAATATGTTCCACGGTACCATAATATAGAATATATTTCCTAGTAATAAACATGATCAAGACCAAACTAGCTGAAACATTAATGATTTTGAGTTTGTTTTCCCAAGTTGTCTAGTTTAGCCTAAAATTTTCAAGTATTTGGGAAATTCCCAATTTAGGGAAAATCTGGATATTTTGCTCTGCATATCAGAATTACTTCCTGATTTTACCTTCAGAAATGTAATGCCATATAGAATGCTGCAGGGATTTATTCGCTAAACTGGGAAATGCGTAGAAACAAGGGAACTAAGATTTTTTTATGTCCCCATTTTTGTCTGCAATTCAGCTGTTTTCTCCTAAAATTTGCAGTTACCCTGTTAATGCCCTGTTATTCACAGTTTAGTAAATAAGCCCTTTTACAAGGTTAAATGCCTGAAAAGGAGCCAATCATAAAATAATGTAAACATTCAATAATAACTTACGTGTTTCCCAGATATTGGATGTCTACGTTTACCGTGAGCTGACATGTTCACAGGAAATGTTGGTGTTTTCTTTTCCAAAACCTTGCAAGCAAGCAGTGAGAAACGAATCTTGATCTATGATCTATTTGAACACTAACGAAACCATTGCGAAATATCAACAAACACTTCCAGACTATCCAACTGTCTGTCTGTTCCCATTGAAATGATCTTAAAAGTCCCCGCAATAAAGAATCCTAAATAAAAAGGCACAATTACTCTTTGAATAAGGAAACCTACTTGCCCTGCGTAAAGAACTGAAAGCAAATGTTGGTTACGGAGGGCAAATAGATTAGGATAGTGTTGAAAGTGAAAGCAACAGTGAAACTATCATTAAGGCAGGAAAGGAAATCATATGAAAAACACTTCAATGGCAGTTACAGAGCCAAGTCGCTCTACAGGAACATCAAGTTTATCTTTTTTTTTTTTTCTACAAGGAATTTGATAAAAAAATCAGTGCTCTAAGGTCTATTCACTAAACAATAAGCTCATGTTGACAGCGTTGCATAATTGCCCAATACAGCACAACACACATAAAAGAACACTATAACATTAGAAATGCAAACCTGTATTTCTAACGTCAAAATGTTCTCTCTACTTCAGGACTTCCCTAGTAACTAGGGCGTTTTTACTCACCTTTAGCACACCTTTAGCTCTCGATTCTACACACCTGTCTCACTACTTCCGCTGCAGATTATGAAGATGTCAAATGTCTGTCCTTCAAGGACTGCAGGATCACAGTGACAGCCACTAGAGGTGGCCCTAGGGGACAAAAGGAAACGCTGCCTTTCCCCAGAAAAAAAAGCAGTGTTCACCATTGTCAAACTGCAGGGACTGTCTCTTTGTATCCCAGAACCACTACAATAATTATTTTCTGGTGCTTAGAGTGTCCCTTTAAGATAACTCAGACTACAGAAGATTGAGTAATGTATTATTATATAATATAAGTATTGTATTCATCCATTACCAGTGTGACTAGAGCAAAATGGTCACTCTGCTAAAATACAATTGTTGACACTGATTTCATATCTCTATACACATACACGCATGCACGGACGCACACACAAACACACAAAAGTCAAGTGAGTGCTTTCCCTTGCTGTTGTGTACTTCCAAACTGTGGCATTTGTTATATTGGAGAAGTCAAGTGAATGACATTGGACTTATTAGATAGACAGACAGACAGATAGATGCGTATGTATGTACAGTATGCACAGTGCAGGTAGTGAAGGGGTGAACACTAATCTGCATACAAAGGTAGATTATTTTGTAAACCTTTTGAATTACCTAAACTATCTAAAGTTCTAGTATACAATCTAGTGTATAGTGTTTATTTACACTATAAACCTTTATTATAACTAGTGTCGCCACCAAGGCATTAAAATCTACACTCTACACTCAGGTTGCCTGAGAGTGCCAGTGTGGACTGTTTGGAAAAGTAGAAATATCTTTCTAAACTGGACCTAATTTCTCAGCCACATCAGACCAGGCCACTGGCAAGAAAAGCTAGATTCCTCCCTCGTGCGGCAGCACCAGGACTGGGATTAGAGAAGGCATCTGTCAATTTGCACCAGCCCCGGTGCCCTCTCCCCTAGATTGCAGGAAATCAATTCACCTGCACTCAAAATACAGGATAGCAGAAATATTTTTTTTGTTTGTTTGTTTCTGTATGTGTGTGGCAATTTAAGGACAAAATAGCCAAACTAAAAGCAGAATTGACTTAACTTTGAATTCCTGGTAGTTCTCACTTTAATGAGTGTGTCTGAGTATGTGTAAATGTTTGAGTCTTTACAAACATTTACATTGATCACCCAGTTCCATAATATTACATTGTGCATGGAGGAAGCAGCTATGGCCCATCCACCTTTCAGTTTACGATGTGTATATGCCCCACCTTGCAGGAGTACACAAGAGTTCGGATATTTTGTTTGGAGAAGGACACAACCGATAGGCAAAGTTATAAGATTTGTAGACATTTTCTCAGACAGCCTCTTAATTCTTGCTGGATCCTGTGACTTTAATGGTACAAGGAAAACCAGCAATGGGGGTTTTAAATGGCCACCCTGCTACTGGTCCAACTATATTGCTGCCTAGCTTTGCATATTGAAGAAATAAAGAAAGCTCCTCTGTTTCAATAATCTGCTTTTTGCAATATCATTAGCTTGGACCTGACTTTCTTCATATCTGCTAAATTGGGATTTGCCAACCCTGGTCCTGGATTGTATGCAAGAGTGCAGGATTCTTTTGCATATGCTACTAGCTTGTCATATTGGCATGAGCGAAATGCATGCCAGGTGCATCCTTCTCTATCTCCTTCTCTCTATGTAATGTATTCAGGGCTAACTGGCAAATATATAGGTGACAAATTGTTGATTTTTTAGGGACTAACTATGTCTTGCTATGCCATTTAACACTATCAGGGTTATTAACTAAAGTGAGAATTTAAGGTGAATTCATAGTGAATTTCAAATTTAATGTCAGAGTACCTGAATGGAAAGCATAGCTGACGTAGAGAATTTTTCCAGTTTGGCTGTTTTTACCTTAAATTTAAAATTCACTTTTAATTCACCTTGAGTTCTCACTTTAGTGAATAACCCTGTAAGATTAGACACTCTTAGGATAGTATAATTGCCCTCTAGTGGCAGGAATAGAAAATACAAGCTATAAGGAGATTGAGTTTGATACAATTATCTAGCAATCTCCTAAGTGGCCTAGAATGGATTCTGTTATTGAAACAGTAATATAAATATTAACATCAATAATAATATACTATACATCAGATAAAAAACGATTCAAACGCCTTCCCTGCTCCTATCCTTGGATGCAGACAAGGCATTTGACAGAATTCACTGGGACTATCTGAGAGAAGTGATGATAAAGATAATGCTACCTTTAGCATTTATTGATGCTGTTTTTGCATTGTAGGGCAAACCTAAGGCAAGATATATGCATCTGGTTTTATGTCAGATACCTTCTCATTGTTGAATGGTACCAGACAGGGGTGCCCATGATCGCCTTTGATGTTTATACTTGCTAAGGAATCCCTGGCTGAGACTATAAGAGAAGCAAAAGAGATTAAAGGTATTGAGATAGGTGGATGTGAACACAAAATAGGGCTGTTTGCTGATGACCTTATTCTTTAATTTTCCAATCCTGATTCATCATTAGGTCTATTACAGGAAATACTCAAAAATGTTGTTAATATATCTTATTATAAAGTAAACTCCAACAGGACACGAGCATTATCATTTTTTATTCAGGGACCTGTGCTGGCCGAATTAAAGGTAAGATATAGGTTTGACTGATACACATATTTGGGCATCAGTTTAACCAAGAATCTGTCAAAAATGCATATTTTTTACTTAGCTAAAGTTTGGCATGAAGTCAAAACTGAAATGGAAAGATGGGCTAATCTTGATATATCTTGGCTTGGTAGGATAATATCAATCAAAATTAATATACTCCTTAAAATTCTAGATTTTATCAGAACCATTCCATTGACAATCCCACTGTCTTTCTTTAACAAAGTACATTCTGACTTATTACAATTCATTTGGAGAAAAAAAAAAAAATATGCAGGGTCAAGTTGACAACTTTAAAATTAATAATAATATACTCTGTACAAGGACTTGTTAGTAATAAGTTGATCTTTTTAGGGAAGAACCTTTTATTGAGTATTAGTGCAACATGTCTTTAGTGTTTAGAAAAAGTACAGTTTTAATATATATGTGTCTGTGTGTCTATGTATAAATTTCCTGGTCAAAATGGCAGCGCCGCAAATGGGTTACATTTCTCCATTCAGCATACAGGGCAGGAAGTAATTAACAAATACATTTTAAGAAATACTTTTTCCCTGTCCCTCCAGTAGCAGAATTTCCCCTTTTGGTGGCTTACCTCTCTCCCCTGAAGGGTCTAGTAAACAGCATGTATAGCAGGACTAACTAGACCATGGAGATATAAGTACTCTTATATCTCTATATATCTGTAACTCGATTGGAACAGTAAGTATGGCTTTATGCCAATATACTGTGAGTCCCGAGCTGACTTAGCTCTGTCTTAGGATGTACCTTATGCCTCGGGGAGCTTTCTTGCATCCTTTGTTTTCAGCCAGGAACGCAGGGAAACTCCACTGATAGGAGTTTCTTTTGGCTTGCATTCCAAGACTTTTTATTGCGTCATCGTCCTCATAACATGTTTGTACAATTCGCAAAAACTTTCATTTTTGGCAGGAGATTTAAGAGACCAGTTTTTCCTGTATACTGTGGCTATAGACAGCCAGCTAATTGCATGGACCATTGTCCCTTTTGTTGCCTGAATGTGCTGCCCTCATTTGCCAAGATGACCATTCCCCCTGCTTCTCATAAGTCAATCTCTAGAAGAGACTTAAGAGAAGTAACTTGACTTGGGGCCCTCAGAGTGCAAAAGTAGATAGTAAATAAGTAATAAGTAAATAGTAATAACTATATGGCCATTTTTTTCAGCCCTAAGAATCCTCTTGAATCTCCTACCAAGAAGAGAAAAAATAAAACTAACTACTGTATGGACTGCAATCTATTGCTCCCCCAGGGAAAAAAAATTATGTCTGCAGTGCCAAAGGAATGTTGCGGATCCTCCTCCAGCTATAGACCCAGCTCCAAGGAAACTTAAAAACTGAATTGCTCCGGCAATAGTTAAGGGTTTTCAAGCTGAAACTTCTCAAGCTCCTGCAAAAAGGAAGAGAGAGATGGAAACTGTGTGTATCTCATCCCATGAAGGAGATTTAGAATCTGATTATTCAGTTTGTAAACTCAAAACATCATCATCTAGTATGAGATCTATGGAAGCAAAGGGGAAACATTAATAGTAATAATAGAATAGAAATAATATGGTCAGAAGATATTTTAAAGAAGTAATGAAAATTAGCCCACCACAAAAGACCACTACACCACACTTGGATCTGCATTCAGCCCTAAGGGATTTATTCAGAAACTTTTTGAGCCTTTGGAATAAAAAGTAATACAAATATACAATAAAATCCTTACTGGAATGAAAGTGTAGGACCTAGACCTATTGTATATTTTATTACTTTTTATTTCATTTTATATTAATAAATCAATTTGTTACCTACCATCCAGATTCCAGTTTGGTTCCTGGCTAGAAGGGGTGACTACTAGGAAGCTACAGCCTCCCATCAATTTCAGGGGAGGGCACCTTGATAACGCCTGCAAGTCCACGTTTGTGAGTGCAATTTATAAACATGTCACTTTATCCACATTTTAAACATTATTACACTATGTTTTTGTAATCAATTTTTTTTTAGGAATGTCAGCTGTATCCCAGATTGTGTAT